CCCAAACCCAGTCCTCCTGTCTTACCCCTTCCTCCACAAACTGTCCCCCCTCCACACCTGCTGCTGCTGCTCCCACGTCACCGCGTCTTTTGCTGCCGCCGCCGCCGCTGCTGCTGCTGCTGCTGCTGCGATCTGCAACCGACACCAGAACAGCTGTCTGCTCCTAAACCCCCAGTTTTTTTGTCTGTTGTTCATCCCGTCACCGCTGTGTGAACCCTGGTGTCTCACCTCTGATGAAGCATGTCATTTCAAACTGTGATTGCTCCGAAAGGTCCCATATGGTGAAAATCTGTTTTTTATTGTGTTTTTAATGCCTTAAAGAAGCTGTGAGACTAAAAAGACGCGCACTACTGCCATTCCTCTTGCCCCCTTATAGCTCCATATCCTCCCAACTTTACAACCCAGTAAAACTTTATTCTATTTTGAAGCAGAAAAATGTGTATAATCTTGGAAGCCTGCTGCTTCCAGGTGACGCGTTCACAATGAGCTATCAGGTGTATTTTCCTTCTAAATCTGCTTCTGCTAACTTTAAAATGATTCAGCTATGAGCAAAGAACACCAAATGTTCTGCAAGACTGAACACAAGAGCCTTCATGTACTCCCAGCATCTGTGGAACCAATGATCCTGTTTGTTACTTTTATTTTTGATGGCAATGTTACCGCAACAACAGCAAAATCTTTTGTGATGGCATGTTGTGCAACTAATGCTACCATTAGCTTTGACCATATACCCACCAGAAACTGTTAAGCTGATAAGAATTCAAAGATGCGGACACTTTGGAAAACCAATAGACAAGGACTCCGTGGGTCACTGTATTTAGCAACTTGCTTCAGTGCAAACCAAACTCAGCCCATGTTAACACCTGCTAGCTTCTCTCCTGCTCCCTGTGCTCACGTGTGCTGCATTTCAATACAGCAGTTCCCAATAAAGCTGTACAAATTTTCTGTTTCTGCAGTCAGACAACAAGACAAGGATGAAAGAGTGACTGAAGTGCGGCCCATTAAAACTAAAATGTTAACCAGCACTTTACAGCCACTTCCAGGCTGCAGCCCTGCACCACTGAAATACTGATTTTATCACAGCAAAGTCAACTCAGACTCAATAAAAACAACCACTGTGCTGTGAATTTTCATGAAAAATCATTACTCAAGGAGAAAGTTAGAAACAACAGCAAAACCAGAGCTGCATTCTAAATGACATACTTTTTCTTTTTTCCATTAAGTACGCACTGTTTCATGCAGTATGCATGCAATTAGGATAAACGACTTTCTCATAATATTGTGCTGTGATCTTTGACCGTCGCAGTCTGTGGTGTGAAATGAGCCGTCGTCTGTCTTTGCACTTTCAGCGGCTCAAGCTTGTTTATGCTTGCGCGTGACACTGTGCCATATGTGGCATAGCTGAGCAGAGGATTGTGGGTCAACATGGCCAGAAAAGCATGTTGCCTTTCATCCTACAAAATCTGAGCGGATGTCGTCGGACATCCAGGTATTTTTGGGGTACTGCATTTGACGTAGTGTGTATTGGGACGTACCGAATCTCATATGATGTAGAATGGTACTGTGAATATTGGAACGCACCGTTTGTCCCACGCACTCATTCACACATGTCGGTTGCCGTACGGTCAACTGTTTTTGTCTGCACTGTCAATTACAGAGAGAGTCTTCTTCCTGAAGGGGACGTGAACAGCAGCAGGTCAGCTGCTTTTAAAGCTGCCGACACTAAAGCGGCTCATTTCAGTGTCTGTCAGCTCAACAGGGACAAAAAACAGAAGTTATACAGTCATGGTGAATTGAACTGTCTTTGCAGAATTTTGAGCTGAAAACTTTAAAGATGCATTTTGAGACATGTGAGACGTTCATTAATTTCCTGAAAAGGGCACGATATGGGACCTTCAGTGTTTATTTTCCATCATTTTTGCATCCTTGAATTTCCAGAGTCATGTGTGGGGTTGATTTTCTGCTTGTATCTTGTGAGTTTTTTACTTCTCTTTAGGTTGGGTTTGCATCACCAGAATGTGGGCAAATGCTGGGAAAAGTTCATCTTCAGTTGAATGGAAATGATTCATTGCTGCATGTGCACGGATTACATCTCTCTTTTTGTCTTTTGCCATTAGTCCAAGCATCATTAGCAGCATATCAGTCCATTGTCACAAGGCCTTGCAATGGATGAGGTGACTGACTTTCTGTTTATTTCATTTCTGTGATTTGAAAACTGTAGAGACTTTCACGAGCACCTGTTCTTTATTTTCCCCCCGGAGCCCTTAGTTCTCCCTCCCAACACTGATTAATATTCACCTGGTTTCCTCCCTGATAATAAACCAAACTTACGATCAATAAATCCCACCTGAAACTAATGACTTCCTCCAGTGTAACAGCTCAGTTCCCCGTGAAACACTGATGTTTCTATCATTGCAGCTCAGACGATGCATCCTCCAATTGGTCGGACTCCTGTTATGCCTACCCCTCCCCCGAGGAGGAGAGGCCGCCTCCCCCTTACCCCTCTTCCTCCTCTTCCTCCTCCTCCTCCTCTTGCTCCTCCTACTCGCTCCCCCATCACCACCACCACCACCACTTCTACACCCGAGCACCTCCGTGTATGCGTCCCGTCGCTCCCGGTCCCGAGTCCGTTGCCCCCGGCCCGTCCCCTCCACCCCGCCGCACCGGCTACAGCCCACCCCCGCTACCCCACCACTCCCTGTGCCCGTCCCCCCAGCAGCTTGACGTCAACTCCAACCCCAAACCCAGCTCCCTGCACCTGCCCACCAAACAGGCCTCCCTGCCCGACGCTCCGCATGCGGCCCCGTCCGAAACGAACGGCTCCACCCTTTACATTAAACCCCCGCTCGTTTTAACTCGCCACGATCTGTTCCTGGGCTCCCCCAAACCCCCCAACACCCCCCTATCCGCTCCCCCTCCATGGGCAGCCTGTGCCTGTAGCCGAGAGAGAGGAGCCAAGCTGACGAGGTAAATACAAGAAGCCTGCTCGACTCGCTCGTATTTCCAACACAATTCACACACAAATGAGAAAGAGGCCCCTCGGGGACAAAGAAGCATGAGAGAGGGATGATGTGAGGAGAAACGGGGATGGATGTGATTAAGATCCTCCCAACAGCGCCCCCCTTACTCTCTGTCTTATTAACTCCTTTGGTTTGTACCCGCCAGTCATGGAGATCAATGCTCTTTAGGAATTCCACTATCACATCCATCTTTAATTTAATAGCCACGTATGCAATCCATAACTTTCCATGTTGCCACGATGTTCGGGAGACGGTTGCCAGGCAACAAAGGAAATTCAAAGCTTTCAGTGAATGCGATTATAAAAGTGGGCGTTAATGAGTCATAGCAGTGAGCCCAGTTAACCCTGCGAGATCAGACCTTGAATGTGAGCACAATGATGCATGTTGAAGCAAAAAACAACATGGGAAAAAACAAAACAAAACAACAATTAGTGGCATTTTCACAGTGTTTGATTTTAAAGGAAGCGTCATCCTCATTGCTCCACCACAACTTTACATCCCAGCAGCTTCGACCATCCATCCATGCCTCATTTGCTGAAAGTGAAAAGTGTGCTGACGTGTAGCCGAGGGCCGTCAGTCGGTAAACTGGTTATGTTTTGACCTTCGGGTCCTCTTCCCATTGGCATTCTGGCTGCACGCTGCTGTAAGTCGAAGGAAAATCCATTAAGCCATCAGGGTTTATTTGGGATTTTTGAACTGCTTCTGCTGCGCCGCTGTATAGACTACATGTCCGTCTGCAACAGTGGTCACTCAGACAATTTGACATTGAACTATGGGTGCTCGTTAATATTTTAATACGACAAAAGATTTACGGAAGCAGGCTGGACATGTTTTCAAAGATCTGTGTTGTGATTAATTTGCATGGGTGTTTTTGTCCTTTATTCTTTCCTCAGTACTCTGAAGAACAAGGAGTTGTCTCCAGTGATTGGACAGAAGGGACTCCAGGGGACAGTGACCTCTAGTGGACAGTCTGAGCACAGCCCACACACCCTGAGGAGAGGTAACACTGCTGTGGTTGTAGCTCTGTTTGTCCTTGCATTGGCCTTAAACCCATTTGTGTTCCCTCTTAGTCACTAAATCTGCCACATTTCTGGCTTCCTTTATATGTGAAGGTAGTTGGTTTTGTGGCGTTTGAAAGACAATTTCAAGAGTCGGACCTGTAACTTTTCTGTTTAAAGTCTGAATTCAGTGCTGGCACATTAACAGAAAGGGCACAGCAGCACAAGGTTGAAGCTGAAATGTCTTGTTCCGCCTTTAAAGAGTGATTGATCATTCAGCAATTATCTTTTATGCACTAATAAAATCAGCCTATCTATTATTTAATACTGTTAATGAGGTAATTAAAAGTTGTAGCGGGATTTTCTCATGCCAAGTCTACTGCCAGTCTGTAAAATGTAATTTCATTCTTTAGTTCCTCTCTCAGTGCTGCACAAAAGAGCAGAAAAAAAAGTCCTTGAAAAACCACAATAATTACCAACTCTAGGATGTGTCATCTTTAACTACGCTCCGCTCAGGTTTCTTTGTTTCCTCGCAAAAATATCCAGAGATTCAAATGTCAGAGGGTGTTGTTTGACCTTTGAGAGAACAGTGATTTGGGGTTGTTTAAATATATTTGACTTTTTAGATTTAAGGCTTTAACTTAGGCAGACTAAAAAGACTGATCTGGAGGGTTGATCACATTAATGAGAAGTAAAAGGTTGATCTTTATAATGATCATTAAAGGGGCAAGACACAGATTTAACACACTGCTTGTCATGTTTGTGGTTTAATTCAGGATCCAGAAATCTCTCTTTTACAAGCATCCCAACTTAAGTTTGATTTATTCTCCTGCACTGAATAGGTGCAGAAACTACACAAGTGGCCTGTGCTGTTCTGGGCATTTATACTTTATCACAGGCGTGTCTGCGTTTCTTTGTACGCTTCGAGCTGAAACAGATCATGCTGCAAGCTGGGGCTGATATATGCTGAACAACAGTTATTTTTTGCAAAAATACTGCAACACAGAAAAGAGTGAAGGCATCAGAACCAACAGAGGTCATAGTCTGAGCCGTGAATACCAGAAAACCACATGTAGAAACACTGGCAGAGCAATGCAAGATAAAATAACACCATATTACATTTTCTTAAACAAAAGGATTTTCTTTGTAAACACAGCATCTTCCTACCAGTTGCATTTCTGGGGAGGTTCATGTTTGATTATTGTGTAGATTTAATGCAGAAGCTTCAGCTGAAGTGGATACAATCACAATTTTAAGAAGTCTGCAGAAACAAGCAAAAGAAGCTTTCAAATCAATCCTGGATGCAATCTGTGACACAGCTGCTCTTCTTTAGGAGCAAAACATCACCGCAGTTCTCTGATATTCACATGACAGAGAATATTTTTTCCCTTTATTTGTTGGTGTGGTTGCAGCAAAGAAGCTGGCCCCGATCCCCCCCAAAGTCCCATACTGCCAGTCGGGAGCCATGTCCGACCAGTCGACCGGTCAGCCGTCTCCGGTCAGCCTGTCGCCCACCCCTCCCAGCACCCCGTCCCCGTACGGCTTCAGCTACCCGCAGGGCTACGCCACCATCGGCTCCCCGAGTCAGCTCCAGACGGCCACCACCCCGTCCCTGTCCTCTCCGCCCTCGCTGGCCGGCACCCTCACCAAGGCCCGGCCGACCCCCAAACCGCCCCGGCAGAGGCCCAACCTGCCTCCTCCGCAGCCTCCCACCACCCCCGGCACGAGTCCCCAGCCTCTGGAGCATTCGTCGGGTCTCCTGGATGGTTTGTCTCCCGGGGAAAGCATGTCCACAGGTAAAGAAGCCTTTAACATGCTAACCTTCACCTTTCACTTTGTATTTTCACTTTACTCAAGTTTTTTTTTATTACTTTTACATTTTATTAGATTGTTTTATTTTTTTTTTTTTTTTTTTCTTTTACATTTTATTAGATTGCTTAATTTGAAAAATTCATAGATAATAAGCCACAATTAAACATTTTTTATTTATTATCAAGCCTGTATGCTTCAGCCGCCAGCATTTTTTTAATCAAGCAGTGTAAAAGTGTGATACTTTTCACACCACTGCTGGTTAGAGAAGAGCACACTTACAGGGTGGTGGACTTTTGTCAATAACTTTTTATTATAAATAGTATTTTTAATATAAACCCAGGTTGTCTCTTCCAGGTATATACGCAACATGGATTAAAGAAATGCAATGAAACACAACATAAAGCAATAGAGACTAACGTAGCATGTATTGTACATTTTTAAACACCCCAAAAAATTTTTTCAACATTTGCTGGAATAAAATAAACTGAATAAGTATTTTCGTATTGTCAACAAACCTCATGAAAACACAACAATAAGTTCATCCTACTCAAGCCTGATATACTGTGTCTTAATCCTTCATAGAAGACACACAGAGGCGTAGCACCTTTCAACAACAAGCGCTGCACATAAGGCTTAAAATGCACATAGACTAGATGTAAGACTAATATAAAAAGACACAGTTATACAATAAAAAATAAGCCACATAGAATGAGACATATTAACTGCGACAGTAAGATGAAGACACGACCGAGTGTGTAGTTATATGCAGCTATTTTTAGAGATTAGTAGGACAGAGTAGAAAAGAGATGGCAACTGTATTTTCAGGTTTTTAATGGCATTTATTGGTATTAGAACATTACGATAATACCAGATTTATTCTTTAATGTTCTTTTGCATCAGGGTAGAAGTCATACAAAAATATAAATGTGCTCATGTGTTAGATGTAGCACTCTTTTTTTAATATTTATGTGCCTCAGCGTCACTTATAATGGGTAATATGCAATTAAATGTGTATTTATCCTTTAACAAATGCACTATTTCCTCTTTTTTTTAGTAACATTAGTTTAAAACCAAAGGTACTTTAGGAAACTATTTTACATGTTTAAACATTCAACTATATATTAGTGATGCAAATTCTAATAGATATAGGTTTTTACGTCAGAGTGGAGGAGTGATGGATGACCATATATTAATTTTTTCATGGTATGGAGATATCAGATTCATGTTTCAGTGTCTTTCTGTATCAAAAAAGAGTTAAACAAATGTAAATATGTATTGTTGTTCCACTTAATGCTCTTTTTCTGTATTTTTTTTGCCTCCACATCACTTGTAGGTTCTAACTATGTTCTGGTCTAATCTCCGCTCTTGTCAACTGCTCTTATTGTCTCACTTACAGCGGTATGAGGCGAGAGGTTCAGTGTGATTCTTTGTGTGAGAGGGACTTTTAGGGTAAGCAGGAGTTCCTGTGCTAAAGCCTCACCTTCCCACCACCTCCAACCCCCTCCAACCCCTCCGACATCTCGGCCAAACAAGGAGCCTCCCGCTGACACGCTCACATCAGGGTGAAGCTGCCGGTAGAAGCAGATCTTTGGATCGCTGCTCTCCGGCTGCTTCACTCTGGAGCCGCTCCACATGACTTGTCATCGTGTTCATGTCAACATACAGCTGCTGTGTTCAGTCACCTTTAACACATCTTGTTGGCCCTTGCATGGCGGCTGAGACTGATGCATGGCTTACATGGGCGTGTCTGCAGGAACCGGGCCGATGGCAAATACCTCCTGCCCGTAGGATTCCCACCCATAATGCCCTGCTCCAGCTGCCCCTTCCCCTGGCTTGGACAGACACCTCCCCACCCCTTACACTCCCCACCCACTCCACAACCTTGTGCCTCACTGCCCACCGCTGTTCCTCGGTCAGCTTTCCATCACACGTGTTGCACTGTGGATGTTTTCATGCTCACAAAGGACACAGAGATTCACATGTTCATTAAAAACTGAGGTCAATATATTAGTTTATACGTCAGTATGACTAACTGCATTGATCTCATGGTTTTGGGTTGTTAAGGTGTGCCTACTAAGTTGATTGATTATGTGTGAAGCAGTTTTAAGCATCTGGGGTGCACAATATCTGCATTTTTTTTCACATTTTTCCAGGTTACACAGCCAAACTGACGTGATAATACTGATAATGATATTTTCAGTTTCACTGCTGCACCAAAATGTGTCTAAAGTCAGCCGGTGGAGTTCATCATTAAAGGAACATGACACCGATTTACACAAACTGACTAAAAAACTGTTGTATAGCCTGGAGAAATAACTGTGATGATGTCACAGCAACATAATTAGGGTTATCCAAGGCTTTAGATGAAGACAAAGCTCGTCCCTAAGCACCCATTTTGGTCCTGTTAAAAAGACCAGGCTCCTATACACATAATGAGGACAGAGCCATAACTGCAATTTAGATGTTACTGGGACATAAAAAATGCATGTATACGATTTAGCAGTCAAATCTAATAATAGTTGCTTAACAGATTCAGTGACTTTGTCCCAAAATAAGGTTTATGTAACACTTTTCTCAGGTGTTACTTCTAGTACCTACGTGCACAGTTTTATGACACCGTGCTGGAGTCGGTGCACAAGAGGGAATAGATTGATTCAATGTGGCGTCCATGCAGACTCTCGTGGACTTGGGGAACCTAGCAGACCCTCACTTAGTCATGGATGTTGAAACACCAACCTTAGACACCTGAGCTATGACTAAACACACACTGTATCCAAGTGTGTGTGATTACTGAGCACAACACGCTTTATTTTGATACAGAAACCATAAAACTTTACACAAATTTGTGCAAATGCTACATTTTGGCGGCAAAATCTTTCTGTTGGTGACTTTCTTTGCAGCAACACAGCAACACACTATATATTTTGTAAATAAGATGGTTTTATGGCACAGTTTTATAAAATTACAGTCATGTCTAATTATGAAATACAGAAACACTGCTTGCCAAGAAACATGCATCTGGAGTCCCCTGTTGCAAAAATTGCTAATTTTGGGTTTGGCCTGTTTGTCTTTGTGGCTCATTAGTTCCTTTATTGTGCAGTTTGTGTTTGACCATGCAGTACCCGTGTACACAAAGTCAGCCCCCTATAGAAACAGTGGTTCTATTCCTGCAGCAGATGGAAACCCCAGAACTAGACCAGTAGAGGCTCTTATAGCAGCAGACAGATGCTCAACAGTCACACGAGTGTAATATTCAGGTGTCCACATACTTTTTGCCACTTACATTTTGCCCAAAACAACAAGCTTTCTTGTATATCGTGCTCCCCTGTCATGCATTATTTTCCCTTATTCATTCTGCAACCATGGTTTGGACTCCTGATGACCCACATACAGCGAGCACCATCATTTATCTTCCTGCTCACCCTCTTCTGTTCTCTCTGCTCTGCCAGATTCCCTCTGCAACTTGGACATCCCCATCATTAACATGGAACTGGACGGTATTTTTGACTTGCCCCACATCTCCCCCTTCAGGAACTCGGTGGCGCTGCTCGAGTCGACCGGCAGCAGAAATGCGGATTCGGAGGAAGAGTCTGAGAGCACAGTGCTATGACGCCACTGAGTTCCCCCCTCCACCTCAGCCGGCTCATCAAACGAAAACACAAAGCTACTGCTGCACTGTCTCGCTCATTCATTGACCTTTCACCTCTCCGGCTGGATTACTTCCGGATCCTCCTCACCACACCTCGCCCGTATCGATCCGGAGGGGGCCGACATGTAAAAACAAAGCGCTTCTATACAGTAAAATAACACTAAAAAAAATACAGCAAACACACACACACGAGGTGTTAGCGACAATGTTGTCAAGGGACTTCTGATCAAATACGCGGTTTGACATTTTACATTGGCTGGATTCTTTTTCTTTTTTAAGTTAATGTTTCTTTCTGTTTTGCCTTATTTGATTCACTTGCAATATTGCCTTTAACGTCACACACGAGACTGGAAACGGGCTGCTGGGAGGAATGAGTGCTCTTCACTGCTGCTGCTGCTTCTGATGAGTGAATTTTTAGAAGAACAAAAACGCCACAGTACTGTACATCTGTCCTGGTTAATTCTTCTTCTTCTTCTTCTTTCTCGCACCGTTTCCCCCCCTCCCTCATCCCTCAGGGGTGTCCATCGAAATGCCTCGCTCTGGCATGTGGTGGCAACAAACCCCCAGATTTTCTGTCCCACCTGAGCGTTCACTGTGAGTGTGCCAGTATGTCGTTTTGGAAAGTGTGTGTGTGTGTGCGTGTGTGTGTGTGTGTGTGCGTTTTGCTAGTGCGTGATGTGTTAATTGATGTGGTAATTGTACTATATGATGTTGCACTGTTGGTGTCGTGGAGCAAAAAAAAACAGGAATGCATGTTTTAGACATTTAGGAAAAATAACTACGAGGTAGCGACGAGGTTTAAACGCCCAATCACACCTTTCTCTATATTTACAGTCAGGATATCAGTCACTGGATATTTATTGTTTATACTGTACATTTTCAGAGTATAAGATATGATTAACAATATAAAATCAAATCAGATCATATTTTGTATCCACGGGAGAGCTGTAAAGATACCATTTCCTCTATAGTTGATGCTGTCAGGGGGCTATAATATATGTATATGAGATCCATACTGCAGTTTGTGAAAAGGTGAAGAATGAAAAACTCCATGTGATTACTCATAGTTATTTTTGGCAGCGAGCAAAGCTACGTGGGATTTTTCATTTTTCTTTGTCAACTTAGGAGTAGCTTCACTTTCAAGATTGCGGAGAAAGAAAGACGATAATGTGCAGGTTTGGTGATATGAAGCTTGGAGTGTCTAACCACAATCATTTAGTTTTAAAGACTAAATTTATTAAAGCTCATCCACAGAGCAACAACAGGAGCTGTGATTGGCCAGCTCGTACAGCAGTGTAGCCAATCAGAGCTATGTGGGTTGGACTGATTAAAACGAGCTTAATTTACATTTTCTTTGCCACATTTCAAAAGTTTGCTTCAGGTCACTTCACAGTTATATATAGGATACATGCCAACATCTTAAAGTAAATTAGTGGTGAATTGCCCTCATGCATGGATCATACATCATAATTTTACTCATGAACCATGATGGTGAAGATACAGAAAAATAGAAATCTGTGACATAATACCGACCTCTTATGTAGAGATCATGTTTTCAGAAGCATTCATGACTTTTTAAGGGATGTCAGGCTTCCTCTGGCCTCATTCCTGGTTTATAACAAGAGGTCAAAAAACTCCACAGAGTTCATTTAGACACACAAGTAAAAGTGACTGGAAAAAAAAAAACAACTGTTTTTTGCTGATTAACATAATTATAAATTGGCAAATTAAGTATTTTTCTTTCTGTTTTTTTACTTTAGACCTGCATGGAATGATGTTTTTTGACCACTCATTAGCAATGGAAACAAGTTGTAGAAACAGCGCAGTCACATCACCTTTAAAACTAACAGTCGGTTATTTACACATCCAACAAATTATGAGCAACATTTTCATTCATTTGAAGAGCTGTTTCTGGCTCCTTTTAGATATTCACTCTCCTTTTAGCTCTTGATTTTGGTCTCCACTCCCTCCTGAGTTAAAATATGTGACTCTTGATCTGCTAAATGCTCAACTTTGTTCTCCTGCTCTTTGCTCATGTTGTGTGTTTAGCAGGTGTCGCTTGAAACAACACCGATGAGAGCAGTAGGACTGACCCAAAACAGGAAAGTTTTCAGCCATAAAACCCCAACGATGAGCTGAAAGACGCTAAAACGTTAAATATGCTCACAAAAAAATAGCTGCTTCCAGTTTCAAAATGTATAAATTTATGTTTTTTATTTATTGATTTGTTAATTTGGCTTAACAAACATGTACATTAAGTAATTAAGTCAAATTCCTATTTTAAACCCTTAATTGTCAGCTTTATCGTAGTTTGTACCTCACACTGCCAATTCATGTCCAGCTAAGGAAAAAAGTAGAAAAAGACTCCCATTGTGGGGATTCATTTAGTAAATGATTGCAGTTAAACATGTCAAATGATATTAAATGATAGTAACTGCAGTGACACACTCCAGGCTCCATATGGGACAACCTTGTACAAACGTATAAAGAATCCTCCCTGAAAACCGTCCTCAGAGCAGCAGCCCTGAGGTGATCTAACATCCCATCATATCGCAACAAAGACAGAAAACAATTCGACACACTCCCAGAAAAAACGGTGCTATTTTGCTATAAATAAGCCCACTTTTTTCTGACAGTGCACTTTCATTTTCAGCCACCTCCACCTCAGAGTTTATAGGAAACCCTGTCTGATGATGCTGATATTTTTGGTCTACATTAGTGAACCAGAGGCAAGTGCAAAGATATGTGTATATGTGTTTATTTTGATGAGAGTATTTATACAGATATATTTCTGAATACTTTTTACTAGGTGTGAGGAGTCGCGGTTGTTTCCGCTCCACATGAATCTCGTCTGAGGATTTAAAAAAAAAAAAAAGTATTCAAACACGGGACCAGAATTTCCCTGCTGCCGCATCGAAGAAAACCTTTTCAGGAATCGCAGGTTCAGTTTAAGAGGAAACTTGAAAATCAGTTAAACTGGAGGTTTGCATACGACAGCAGCAGTTTGTTATTTGCCTTGCGGTGGGTTTTGTCGTGACCTATCCAGATTTGTAAGACTTTTCCTTTTGTCGTGAGAACATCCACTACACATGGCCTCAAAGTCACTGTGCTGCTCGACCATCATGTTTCTTTAAAGTGCTCACAGGACTTCTGTAAATACTCGAGTATCTGTACATATTTGTTCTGTATATACTGACAGGGGAGAAATTCATATATATAAAATATATATATAGATATATACAAATACTGTATTGAAAACTATAAATGATGATGAACATTATAACATTATACTGTACATATAATATTATAATGTTGCTGGTTCTAGCACAATGACGCCACATTCACGCGAAAATAACATCACTTTACACGGAAAAAAAAACTCAGTAAGCTCAAGGTTAAATCTAGTTTGCAGATTTTCTAAATAAAAACCGCTTATAGTGCTTTGTGTTGCAGAGTTCCTGACTTCACAATTAACCTCTTGAACCCTGATTTTAGCTTTACAGTCAGAAAAACAAAACTGCCGTTTCTCCTTTCAACACATCGGTGCAGCTACGTGATGCTACATGGCATTTAAAGGAAAATTGACTTGTGCGTCATTTGTTTATTTTTTTTTTACATTTTCTGGCATATTTGATATTTCTGAAAATGTGAATGTGTTGTTTAGATTTTAAATGTGGGTTTGCACAATGTTTGGCCTCAAAACCTGGAGTTGTAGCGACGGATCGATGGTAGTATCCAGCAGGGTTTAAGGGGTTAAAAGAGACTCTGCATGGAAACTGCTGTGTCACTGTTTTTGTCACTAATAGACGGCAGATAGTGAATCTCCTCAGTTTGACAACAAAGCTCTAGACGGCTACGGATTGACATAGAATAAAAGGTTAAAGAAAAGTGTAATTTTAAAGTTGGTTCAAATTGGTTAAATTGGAAGTTTGCACTATATTTATTGATTATTCTGCGCATTACTTTTATTGAAAATGTCCAAAAATATTGAAAAAAAGACAAAACTTATGCAATCAAAGTGCTTGTTTTGCCTGGCTAACACAAAAAATCTAAAAGTATCACATTTACTATCATGTAGTCCCCAGAAGTGCAGTAAATTCTCACCATATTTAGACTGAAACACTTTTACCAAAATTCTATTTAATAATTGATTAATCAATTATCAAAATCATTGCGATGCATTTACTGTCAATCAACTAATTTTTTAATCTGCTTCTGCTCTACTGAAATTTATGATTAAGTCAGATCCTCCCCTTGACTTTAAATCAATACAGCATTAATTTGACGTTTTAATTTAATACTTAGAGATAAAACTTAATGCCTAAAACTTTGAATTCTCACATTTACGATCACGTAGTATCAAAAAAAAATAAAAAATAGCAGCAAATTGACACCATATTGAGACTAAAACAAGAAAGCATTTTGTGTTTTTGCTTAAGAACCATTTGATATTGATTCATTGATTATCTAAACAGCTGCTGAAGAAATTTCTGCCAGTTAAACAACTGCTAAATCTGCTTCAGCTCTACTGAAACTTTGGGTTTAAACAAATACAGCATGAATTTGACATTTTAATTTAATATGTAGAGAGAAAACTTAATGCTGATCATTTTTTTTTAAACAAGGTGAGGTGAACGCTCTGTCCTGTCTTTGTCTGGATTATCTGTGTTACAATGTGCTGCTCTTCGTTTTGTGCTGAAGGGTTTCAGATCGAGGCTCGTACATGCAGAACACATCGACTTTATTAACCCTGTCGAGCGCAGACGGACAGTTTTCAGTATCGCAGCTTTTGCAAACCCTCTGAGCACTAACATCTGAAGGCCTTTTTTTTAACATGAATAGGTGGAATGTACTGATGATAGTTCACCTCATAGGTCGCGATAAAGGCGGATAGTGTGTGTGTGTGTTGTGGACATAGTTTCAAGTGTAAGACGGTGGAGGGGTATTACAATAAAAGTGTTTTTGGGGGGAGGTTGGGTTTGGTTGTCCTGTGTGAAAGTCAGCAGCATGCTTTTTAACCATGCCTATGAAATATGTCTCATCTTTGGTCCTATATAAATGTGCTTGTATTTATTTTTTATAAGTGACTAGATTGAGCTTTGCAAGAGAAGAAAAATTCAGTGCTGCCCTTGAACTTCTTTTTTTTTTTTTTTTTAGTCAAACTTCCCATCAGTTCTGCCAAGACTTTGTTTAAATCATTCACGACTTTCTGTTTGTCTTCACCGCATATGTTCCACCGGTTTTATCTATAGCAAGTAAGAAAAAGCACATCAGACTCAAAGCAGAGACCACCGTCTGTTTGTGGACAGAAAACTGCGCTTTCAGAGGACTAAAATCTGCTGAAAAGTTCCTGTGAATTTACACTGAAATCATACAACAAATGATTGAAAAAAAAAAAAAAGCGTACAGGTGTATTTCTACCTGTACAGTCTGTAGATTACACTGTGGTGCATGCAGCCATTGCAGCCATCTCCACTCATTCTTTTTTGTTGTTGTTTCTGCTTAAGTTCCAAGTAAATGGGGGCCAAAATAAAAAATAAAAAAAAGGGAAAACACAAGTGATCAAGGAATCTTTTTAGATTTAAAAGTTCTTTGTGTCAAACTGTAGTGATGCTGTGGACTCTAAAATTTGGAGTAAAGAGGAAATGCCTTTTTTCTTGGACATGCTATCTCTCGGTCACCAAGTGGAACACAGTGTAAGATAAAAATAAAAAAAATTATTAAATAATCCTCATCCGAATGTTGAAACTATTAAAAATGTTTTTATATTACGTGGATGTTTTGTGTTTTTGTTATTAATGATAAATGGAGTGCAACAGAAAGAGGCATAATAGGACCAAACGAGTGAAAGCAAATGAAGGGGAAAGTGCTGCAGGATGTTTGTATTCCGTTGGGACGCCTTCAGTCACATCCGAGGTTTTCTGGTGAAGGCCACGCTCTGCAAATGCAAGGTAAATGAAAATTAAGTGGTTTAATGATGAAAACTCCTGCAGGCAACAAAACATCAGCCTTACACCCTCCAGCTTGGACTGATCATGGCTACAACATGCTGTGCTTCATGCAAAAACAGCAAATGAGTTTTATGTTGATGTGCAACAAAAAACATGCTAGAGTATGCAAAACATATTTTCTCACTGGAGGTGTGAATTCCTCCAGATACCAGACGTGTGTGAAGTGTGTTTGTGGAGCTGATGGCAGTGATATTTCACCCTCTGAACTAGTGCTTTTTTTTGCTCCTGTCACATTTTAGTCACTGTGGGCTCGTTTTTCACTGCACTATAAAGTCCTGCCCCTCCTCTATGGAAACAGCACAACCATGACTAGAAAGAGACTGAACTCAAAAATGTCTTTTGTGCAGTATAATGAAGTTAAATAAGCTTCACCTTTCCTCTACTCTGTCTTTACTCAGATACATTTATTTGCCACTACTGCATGTCATTAACTTAGTTTCTTCTCCCTCCCGTACTTTGTGTGTCGTCCTCTCTGCAGGTATCTGTGGCTCTGGAGCTGCCTGTTTCCAACCTGCGGTTAGTGTTTCAAACAATCTGCCCAGTGTTTGTTGTTCTCTTGTTTCTCTCTGATATCCTCTTCTCTGTCCTCTCACCCTCACCCAGCGTGACCCAGGAGGAACCTCAGAGCACAGTCAGTCAGAGAAAATCTTATCCGTAAACTTCTGAGCCTGGCTCTGCTGGAGGTTTCTTCCTGTTAGAGGAGAGTTTTTTTCTTCCTGCTGATCCCAAGAGCTGCTCAAAGGGAATCATTGATTTTCTCTCTAATATAATATTGTAAGATCTTCACCTCACTATGGGAAGTGCTCTGAGACGACTTACGCTGTGAATTGGCTTTAAAAACATGATGGAATTGAACTGAGTGGAAATTTTAAAAGAAGAATGGCACGGCAACCTCATAATGGTACTAAAAGGAGTCAAAAAGATTCATCGTTTGGAGACCATGAATGTTGGCGCCAAAATATATGACCATTTGTCAAGTATACATTGTAATAATTCTGAATTTCATGTATTCAGTGAAATATTTCAAAGAAAATCTGATTGTAAAAGAAAATGAGAGGACATTGAACATTGAAAATTCTTCCTTCTTGTCGATACTTTAACCAGAAATAATCTTTGTGTAAACTGCTGAAGTTGTCTTATGCGGGTTTTTCTGTGAAGAGATGTTGCTGCTGGAGTTTTCAGTGCTGTGACAGTTGTCTCAACATCTGGATGAATGACACCAAAATCACAAGTGTGGCTGAATACCACTAGAAAGAGAGAAGCCATTTAGATGAACTGACCTTTAATCCAGAGAGTTAAACACTGGGGAAGAAGCTTCTTGGATTAATTTGTCCTGTTAAGTGAGAAGGACACAGCACTGAGAGCCTGTGTGCAGCATGTTCTTGTCTTTGCTGCTTTCTTGTCAACAATCTGTACAGAATTACTTTAAATGATCGATACCATTAAGATCAATGATCATGTTCATCATAGTCGACTAAACGGGGCCTCTTACCAAACTCAATGCTGACGTGTAAAGGGGAGTTGTACATCTGCAGGTACTGCTGTGGACTCAGGAGTTCATCACGACCCAAAAGCTTGTCCAGAACCTTCAGAGGGACGATGAGCTCCGGAGTCTCATCCAGCACCGACCCAGGGAGAGCCTTAGAGCACAATCAGACAGAGAAACTAGTAACAGGATCATTTTGTCACTATCAAAACAGAAGCAATCTGGTGAAATAATTAGGAAAAACACACCTTCTTGGTTATTTCAAGTTGTTCACTCAGCTTCTGCAGAGCTGACAGAACACTGCAAACCAGAGTTTCTGTGCTGTTTTCATCTTCCTCAAGTTCTTTAACTCCAGTGTTTCCTGCAGCTTGACCTGCATCCAGCACCTTCAGTCACATAATCAGAGTTCTCATTTATACAGATGATATTTCATAACACACATGCACAGACAGGTGACAAATTAAAGTAAAAACCCAAATAAATGATAGAAAAAAAACTAGGTTATCCTCCTTATCATGTCCACAATACTTAAATTAATGACACCTCAAAGGCCCAAAGTAAAGACAAACAGCTAACCTTATAGCTCCACTGGTGGAACAGCCTGCTTTCAGGGTCATGTGCCATGAACACGATCTTGGCTTCCATCAAGGCACTAAAAAGGGATGTGAGAACAATTATTATGTCTCACACACAGCATAACACCACACAGGTTGAGTTAAAGGAGAAAAAGCTTGCAGGAGCAGTCGATGGTCAACAGCAACCAAATCACTGAGAATATCCAACAGCCTCTGAGCAGCAGCAGCGATGAAACATTTACAGCTGCGGCTGCAAACTGAAGGCATTTAAAGATTAATTTATGTGAGTGTAGAGTCTTTTTTAGCCAAGCGAGCGGAGGGACTCGAGGGACGGAAATGTCGGTCGCTCTGTCAGCCGGTCCACCACTCTGGTCCGGATCTCGGTCGACTGGATGGAGCGGCATTAAATTTTAACGATCCGCTGAGTTTTCCTGCAACATTACAATGAGGTTTGTGGCTTTGAGCGAGTTGCCACAAGCACTGGAAGGGTTGCTATTAATTTTTCACAGTATGAATTGTGTCAACTCTGAATTTGCATCTAGCGCCATCATCTGGTTATGACTTACACTCGTCCAGTGGTTTGGTTCCTGAAGAAGTGACTGCAAGAATAATCAGGTTCCCAATAATCACAGCTGTGCTTTCTGACATTATTATTTAGCTCAAAGCGCTGCTGTGCACAGATGTTTAGCATGACTAGACTCTTTTACTCTTCTACTTATTTCATCATGAAGCAAATCGTTCCTAGCTGGGAATCAAACTGGGACTGTATTCCCTGTGGGTATTTACATCCATGGAGATTAATTTTCAACAATGGGGAAATGCATCAAAGTAATCAAGGTAATCTTTATTGTTCCTGAGGAGAAATTTGTCCTACAGTCAGCAGTACACAATAAAATTAGTAAAATCGCATAAAACAGCTTGAAAGGACAGTACCAGAAGCTGTGGCCTCTCCTACGCCCCTCTGAAATCTAACCCCTGAAGTCTTTTTTTTTCTTCTTCTTCTTCACTTAATTTTTGTAAGAGATTTCAATTTGGAGCATCAAAAACTGTATTTTCTGAATTCTGGTATGTTTTTATGCACTAATCTCTTAATTGACTGCATGAATGTATGGTGGAAGTGCCTTTATTTATGTAGGAAATAAAGAAAGGAAAACATAAAATTCAGGAACCGGATGACAAATTCAAAGTACAATGGAATATAATGCAGGTAATCTCGCTGGCATTCTATATTGCTTTCAAATATTTATACTTTTGTAGACCAACTTTTCTCATTTATACCATCATCTCTGCTGATTCAACACACATACAGGCATGAATTCATCTTCTGCCCCTCTTTTGCATCTTCTGTTTGGGGATGTGACCTCTTTCAATGTGCATGTGGCACCTTCTTGTAATCCATTTTTAAAATCCTAGATAGCTCACATGTGCTTGAGCAAAGTTTCTGCTCATGTTCCAAACTCCCTGCATATTGACAACATATCACACATATGTATTTGTGTATGTCCTGTTAGAGACATTAATGCAACTACGGAACAGGGGGACAAATGCAAATGTTCTAAATATTGAGGTGGATGTATCCCCTTATTGAAATCTACATGAATGCACATGGCTATTCGGTCACACCAAACTATTTTACTTATCCTAACCCCTTAAACCTGTGCTATTTTAAAAACTTCTCCCTCAAAAAAACTCTTAATTCCAAGCAGTAACTCCACAACTGTAAGGCTGAACTGAACAATGTGAGCCTCTGTGGATAAGAGACACTGGGGACAATTTAAAATACAACAATTCTCTTTGTCCTCCTCACCAGGACAGAGTGACGTCTGAAAATATCCAGAACAAAAATGAAATCTTTTCTGACACCTAATCAGAATGATAAATTAGAAAGTGAGTTACAGCCTTTTCTAATGACTCAGTGGCACTGATGTTATTGAAATGAAGTCACACACATTGTGCCACTCAAGGAAACCTTCTTAAAAGAGATGGCAGGTTGCATTTAAACTGTCTGGCCTCTGTTCTCAGGTGGAAGGGGTTAAGACGCTACAGATAAAATCTATGAACTTGAAAATGATACAGTAAACACACATTATCCTAAGTTGTTGTCATATTTGCTGAATCTGAAGTGACTTAAAGCAGCCATGTGATTATATTTGTTTTCTCAGCAGGCGGTTTGAGATGAATTTCCAAACAGGCAAACACAAATAAACAGTACTGTGTGACGCATTGTGTCTCAGCAGATAATATACGACATTCATCTATAATTCAAGAAAGTGTGATTACCAGTGTGGCTGTTGTTGCATGACGGTCAGGTCCTTCAAAACAGAAATCAGAATATCCCTGGAAGACTGCAAGAAAGACATACAAAAAAACTAAGTATAAGATTTCACAAACAAACTTCAATCATAAACGGATTTTGTACGTATTTATTTTGCAGGACGACGTACTTCAACGACATGCAGCAGACAGGACGGATAAATCAACAGCAGGCCTGTTATGTGATCCCAGATGTACTGTTTGTTCAACTGAAATTTCAGATTTTCGTAATGAGCTGTGCGGGAACAAACAACAAAAGCGTGTATCAGTCTGTTGGAATAGTGTGACAACATGAAAGTCCATTTCTGTTAAAAACAGTCCCAGCCTGTCCGGGGGGCTTTTATGGGGAACTTTCTATTCTAACTTTTGAAGCTGTTAGAAGGAAACGCTGCAGACCTACTCACACGCTGAGGTGTGAAAGCTGTAAAAGCACCTAAACAAAGGAAACCACAGTCTGTCACTGCTCAGACAGCAACTGCAGCACGTTTTGGTGATTTTAAGAGTTAAAAAGTGTTCAACAAGAGAAATTTGATGTTTCTCTGTTTATTTCATTCTACTCTCATAATTTTCCCTTTCTGGCTCACAATTTTGGTTTGATTCTGACTTACCATTTCATAATTTTGATTCTAAATTGTGAGTTTGGAATTACTGTCTCATAGTTTCAACGTACTTTTTCATAATTCTGATTTGCAAATGAAAATGATGGTGCACTGGCTCATGATTTTGACTTACCATCTTGTCAGTTTTACTTTCAAGTGAATATTTGTATTTTTTATTCCATAATTTTAACTATTTTATATTTTTTTATTGAAATTTACTCTCATAATTTTAACATACTATCCCATCATTTTAATTTTTATATGAAAATTTTAATGTATAATTGTGACTTAAAAGGAAAAATGTGGATGTTTTATTTCATGATTTTGACTTATCACGTGATCATTTGTATTTAAAAGGGAAATTTTTAATTTTTATCCTGTAATTTTAACTCACTAATATTTCATTTTGCCCTGGATTTTTGCCGTTCTTTGAAAAATTCAAAATTAATTCAACAAGACTAAAATAGTTGATTTCTTTGTGTATTCATTTCACTCTCATACTATCTCACAATTTTGATTTGTGAGTGAAAGTTTGGACTTACCAGCTCATCATTTTCAACCTCTTTTCTCATAAGTTTGATTTGTATAAGAAATTTTGATGCACTCTCAATTTTATTAAAAATCTGAATGAACTTACTGACACATAATTTTTATTTAGATGGAAAATGTTGAATTTTTATCTCATAACTGCAACTCACTACTGTTCCAAGTTTACTTACTATATCATCATTTGTATTTTTAAATTAAAATTTTGATTACTTTTAAGAGGTAAAAATATATTTAACAGGGTTAGACTGAAGTGCATTTCACTTCATTGTATATTTATAGTTCCAGAGTAGCCTATAGAATCAGCATCAAACAGAATATCATCATATTGTTAATTTAATTTCTCCTGAAGGAGAACTGGATTAAATTGCTATCAGGTGATTAGTACATCAGTCTTGGTAGCTGTAGGGTAATTGCTGGCTGACCTCCCAGTTCTGTCCTATCAGCAGGATCGTGGGGGAGCCGAGCAATCACTATCAGCCGCTGTAGCACGATCTTCTGTGGAGACAAAGAAGACGAGTCTGAGGAAGCCTGCAGAGTGATGACAACTGAATGTGCTTTGTCCTGCAGGGAGGCACAGAAAGGAGGATCATTATCAGGTGCGCATTTAAAATGTAAGGCTATAGCTCAATATCTACATCAGGCGTTCTTTAAAATGTTGTATATACTGTTGGTTTTCCTTCTTTTTACAACATTTCCAGAAACAAACCAGCAAAACAGTCAATACATTTGCTCAACAAAACTTTCAATTCCTGTCCATCCTGAAGTAAATACAAACCCCATCTTCCTCCCGATCCTTCCTCTGTGCCATTAACTGGTGAAATAAACTAGTCCCCGTTTCCTCCTCTTTTTTCTTGTCTGCTTTCAATAGACCCATTTTGTCCATCGTACTTTCTCGCTCGTTTCTTTCAGTCCAGCTCAAGCTGTGGCTGAGTGAAGTCTGACTGAGCTGCCCGCCTTCAGTGTTTATAAAAGCGTATATCCTAGAAACCTATTGTTCTCCAGATTCTATAAAACAAAGCCAGCTGCACTCTGGTGGGATCACAAATACACATAATACACACAGCGGCCAATGCCAGGCCAGGATAGCCTTGTATTTCAGGTATAGAAGGCCGGTAGGAGGAGGAACTGTAGATATGAGGACACTGCATTCAGATAATAGTTTTTTGCCGGCTATTGTTCAGGATAAAAGCAATTTTATGTGTTCATATGGCTGAGTTCAAGAGAAAAATATTAAAATTGTCAGTTGGTTTAGAGTGAAAAAAAAGTATTATAGACTGAAAATTCAATTTCTATATTATTTAACCCTGAGGCTCGCTATTTTAGCCTCCTGCACATTCAGTACATGTATATGGTTGGGGGTTTTTTTGTTGTTTTTGATATATATTATGACTGAGATGGGGAATTTTCTGTGAAGAATGATTTCATTATCCTTACAGAATATAAATTATATCCAGATATGGAGACAGTGGGTCTCTGTGAGCGGAAAACAGTTTTTTAATCATAAAAAACAGACACATTTAGGACACTTACTTTAGCTGCTATGTTAGCTGTTATAAAACGTACCTATTTAAATGTAATATATTGCATTTGACACACTGTCTACATATTTCTGCTGTGTGTGCTTTAGGGCCTCATTTTACCACATTTAATTCATTTGCTGGTGGTGGAGTCACACACACAGCCGCTGCTATATCACCATCCTGTACTAGTTAGTTAGCTAGCTAAGCTAAGTTGGGGAGTGTAGCTAACTAGCTAAGTAATGTTCAGCACCAACCTCTCTCATTCTACCGTGAATCGCTTCAAACATTGTTCCTGAGTCCTGAGAAACTGCCATGACTGAAGATGTTTGGGGTCTCTGCGCTGAGTCAGTTACCATGGCAACACGTCCAGTCAACGTGCGTCTCACGTCACCACGTCCATGCGACCAGCAGTGGTGAACATTTGTTGCGTTTTTAAATAAAGTTTATTTAAACATTCCTTAAAATACACGTACAATAACTAAGCAGTAACATGTTCAAGATATATGCGGATGTCTTCAGTCTAAATAAAGTCAATGAACAAGTCAAAGGTATTAGTTATAACCTTTTATTTTAAAATTTGATTTAATGTGATAGAACTTCAAATTTTAAAATCTTGTGATTTTTATTTAGCACTAACTTAACTTTCGCTCATTAATTTAAGATACCCAGTGAAGAGTTTTACTTTTAACTCATGAATGTCACTTTGACTTGATAATTTCCAATTTTAACTTTGGACATTTAGACTTTTTTTTTTCTTCACAATTGTGCAATAGAATTAGAATTAGAATAGTATATCATAACTAAAATACTGACGTTCTGTATTACAGCTTGGATTTGTACCTGCATTTGGGTGTTTCATCTCATAACTGTGCCTGACTATTTCATCATTTTAATCTGCAGGCGAACACCTGTAAGACCACTCATAATTGTGCAGTTCTTACTTAATATTTTATAATTTGTAGTGAAAATGTGGTCTTACTATCGCTTACTTTCTCATGATTTTAATTTGTAAATAAAAAAAATGGACTTACTCCTATAATTTTGATTTGTAAGAGTAACATTTTAGCCTTACAACAGTCAATTTTTTTTTAAAATAAAAAAGGGAAATTTAAAATTTTTATCTCTTAAGTTCAGCTTACTATTGTATTATTTTGACTTGCTATTTCATAATTTGTATTTGTAATTGAAAATGTTGACTTACTTTCTCATATATTTATTGTATTATCTCGTAATATTATTTTGAGAGTGAAAAGGTTGACTTTTTATCCCATATTTTTTTGAAGTAATATTTTCACAATAATAATTTGTCAGCCAGAATGTAGTTTTTGATGTCGTGATTTTGACTTATCATCTCATAGTTCTCATTTATAAGTGAAATGTTGACTTATTAGCTCATAATTTAGATTTATAAGCCTGCAGAGATGTGTGAAACTGCCTCCAGCATCATCAGGATGAAGCTGTCTGAACGCTGTTCTGGCTGATTGCCGGCAGGTGCTGCTGATTGAACGTCAACTGCGTCTGATGCGCATCATGTGAGCAGCAGCGAAGCCCGTGAACACCAAGACACGCTTTAACATAGCTCTGATTTTAGCTTTTTAAAAATTTATTCCACAGTTTTAGTTTCATTAATTGTATAAATAATGTATTGTATGAATCATTATAAAGTAGAATCAGCTGTTTCTCTCAGTTTAATTTTTTCTATCAGCTGACACTTTTTTTTTTTTTAGTTAATTTACTACTAATTCACTGGATCTGTGCATATTTTTCTTTCTTTCCTTTTTTATTTTATTTTTAGAGACAGTAAAAGTGATCTTGTTCGCAGTTCTCTCCTCTCTCGCTGCTGCTGTATCATCATCAGTCCCTCATTAAGGAGTTAAACTGAAGCTGAGCTGTGCACCGACTCACCTCCATTTTCCGGGTGTGTTTCCCTTTAAATACCCGCTGAGCAGCGCCTCGGATCAGCAGAGGAGACGCTCGGCCTCCGCAGCAGCATGACAGCGATAAACATCAGCGTCTGAGGCGATGTTCAGGTACTCCTCTCTTTATTTCTTATTTCCTTTGTCTGTGTTGGTAAACCGGTGAAATTAAAACAGGGGAAGCGGCCCATCCGTGCTCGTCTGCTCGTCGTTTGTTCGGTTTCTTTGCACACCCAGTTTTGACAGCTGGGCTCAGCATCATGTCTGTTTTCGGTCGCCAATCTGGGTGACATTTAGTCCTTTTTTTGTTTTGTTTTAATCATAAACCGGTTGTTAAATTTGAGCTGGTTTTATTTAAAGATTTGCTCTTGCTGGTAGATTTTCCAGTGTCACCTCCCTCCAGGCGATGGATGTGATGCTTTCTATAGATCATCACATGATCTGTGCTCAACAGGGTCATTTTCTAAGTATGGAATCAAGATCAATACATCTAAATTACATTATATCACAGTATAGTCTCTTAACCTGTTCAAACCTGCCTTAAATTACACCTACGTCTATTTTAACCCACCTTTTTTAAATCAAATAATGTATTTCTTTATTTAGAAGTACTAATATTAATCATAGGAAGCATAGCAGGCCTGCTTTAAGGTGCTTTTTCCTGCTGTAATACCATTTGAGTTTCCCCTCCAGGCTGTGGGTGGTTGAACATAATATGAGGTTGAATTATTCAGGGGACCACAGAGTGATTCTTTCCCCCCCAGAATGATGTGTTATAGAGGAGCAGGTTAATAAGATTTCACTTTGCTGAATTCAGCTGGTGGCTGAAAATTCACTTCACCTCAAAGCAGTTTCATTTATATATCAGCACCAATTCACTGCGCGTTTGGTCTCAAGGTGCTTCACATAGCAAATTCTCTTTGCAAAAGTGGCAATTTATCGTTTTTATTTCTGCATTGTGAAACAAAATCCTATTCAGGGCAGAAAAATGTTAAATTATGTAATACCGTAATGGTGAAAAACTGTAAAAACACTGAAAACAACAACAAGTAGCTGTAAAATAATGATGTTTTAGCAGATTTTTATACAATAAAACAGTGCTGTTTTACGTTAACTTCTTAAAATACCTCTATTATTTGATGATTTAATTACAATTAACAAAAAAAGCTGTTAAAAAAAGTGACCATTTATACAAGTACAGATTTTGAGGTAGATATTATTTACAGTTTTGCTTCTTTTTTTCTTCTTCTTCTTTTTTTTAAATTTATGATTAACACCTAAATTAATACTCTTTTCTGGGATTTTGCAGCTTACCTGTAATTTAAGGAAACATGGAAACTCTGTACAGTAAATGGCTAAAAAATTACTGTGTGTTAAAAAAAAAACAAGCATTTTTTATTTTGTTTTATTTACAGTGTGCTCATTTTACTATCAATGAAACTATTTTGAGTTGTGCTGCTGGACTTGAGTATTCATGATGCATAGATGTATGTTTAATTTTATTATTTTTGGGGACACATTAAGTTTGGGGCTCTGGAGGACCTCCCCCAGGTATTTTGAGCATTCAACGTTTATTTCCTGCATTCTGGTGAATTTATATCTGCAGGTTTGTTTCTTTTCTGGATTAATTTATGGTGGAAGCATCTTTTTTTATGTAAAGAAAAGCTTAAAACCACCGAGCCCTGGGTGATAGTTCAGAATATAATGGAATATGCAGTGTCTGGGTGTAATTCCACAATAGATTCAGTTGTTGTTTAAACTCATAAGTCGTATTTTAGTATTAAAAAAAGACACAGTGCTGAAGAAAATGGATCCATCCTTGTGGAAAGTTTTGTTGCATTTATTGGTAGCATAGTAGTTCTCACATTTTTTCTCTCAATTCATACCTTCTGCTTGTTTCATGGTTTTATTTATTAATATTAAAAACATGCCAATCCAACAAATGATGCAGCATCTGAGGCTGTTTTTAAAGTTTAAAGTAATAGCTAAAGAATAGTTTGTCATGATGGTAATATAAATTCCACTTTAATGCCTGTTCATCTAAAAGTCAAGCCAGAGAGAGTAGGTGGTTAGTTCAGAACAAAGACTACAAATAGATAACAACAGCTGGCCTACAAACACCTCTAAAGCTCTCAAATTAACTCAGTTTTATTTTAAACTGCTAAATCTGGGTAAAATAACCCCTCGTAGCCTTGTGGGCAGAAGTAAAAGTGACAAATTTCCACTTTCCAGCCACCGTGTATTCCCCTGAAGTCAACACCTGTGTGTGTAGCCCAGTTCCTCCATCTGCTCGTCCTCACAGCCAGTCTGGTGTTTGGAGGTTTAACTTTACTCTAATTATGTGACAAATGAGGCTTCTGTTGTCCCTTTTTGAAACTCCAAAGTTTAACTTCAGCCTTTTTGCTGATCACAAAGCCGATGCTGCATTTCTATGCATGTGTAGGTTTATATAACATCAGTGGGCTCTTATTTAGGCCACTCTAAGATGTATTTAATCATACAAGAGGCCATTAATCAAATTGAAAATGTGGTTTTGTTTGTACAATCGCTTGTTTCAGAGTCTTTAAACTCCGGAAAGCACTTTCTGGAAGCGGGACTGATCTGAAGCTGTGCAGTGCAGCGTCCTCTTCAGGGTTTGTGGGGGTCTGCAGGGAGAGCTTTTGATGATTAATTCCCAGCTGTGGTTTAAATCATCGACTTCCAAGTCTGATTTTCACTTGATGTTGGATCTGCAGACGTTCGCTGCCTTGTTGTGGATTGAGAGAGATTTCTGGCTCAGAGATGTGCCCATGAGAAGAAACAAGGAGGTTTTTCTGTGCCGTGAAACGCTTGAGAAGGTTAATGATTGATTGCCCCGTCTAATAAACTTGACTCTTATCTGTGAAATTGTTTCTATCACTCTTGCTTTGTAGATTTGTTTGCCATGGAGATGGATATGATACCGAAATTCTCCTCGAAAGACGAGGAAATTGACTTCTGGAAGGCTCTTTCCCTCAAGTACAAGAACGGGTATGTAGCTGACACATGCTGCCCTTTTCTGATTTCACTAACATTAGCATTTTGGCCTTTTGTAGCATTTACAGTATAAAGGACAAAGCTGACGTTGTTCTGTATTTTTGCTGACTTGTAAATACCGTGTACATCAGTGTTGAGTTTCCAGTGACTCGGAATTCTTAATTTTCTGTGATAGGATTCGTTGAAACAACCGCGTCTTTGTCACAACAAGTCTTCTGAGTCAAAAATCTACATACAGCAGTGATATCTGGTTAAAGTGTCTCTTGATCATTTTCACCTGAACTAGACTCATTTAGCTTCTGGTTCGATCTTTGACTCCTTTTGACAGAAATTGTGCAGTCCAACTGCATTTGCTTTTCCTCTGATGCAGACTTGTTTCTTCGTCACAGTCCACAGGAGGTTTCATTGTGGACTGTGAGTATCAGTCTAAAACTTAATTCTAGCTTGACTTAACTGTTTCTTTACCACTTTTGATGTGTGTTTGGGGTCATTGACTTGTTGGGAAAAACCCAACCGTGTCTTGGTCTAGGTTTTTCAGAATGTGGAGGTAATCCTCCTTCTTAATTATTCCATTTAATTTCCAATAGTTGTAGTTCCAATGGCAGCAGAACAGCCCCAGAGCATGATGCTGCCACCACCGTGCTTGATGGTAGGTTTGGTGTTATTGGGGTTGAAGGCCTCACCTTCTCTCTTCCAAATATATTTCTGGTCATTGTGGCTCAGTTTTTATTTCGTCAAACCACAGAACTTTCCTCCAGAAGACTTTTTTTCCCCCTTTGTCCATGTGATCAGCAGCAAACTTTAAGGTTCTGCTTGTTGAGGAAGAACTTCCTTCTTCATGCAGCCTCTCAGCTCATGTTGATGTGAAACACTGTGGACACTGACACCTGTCAGCAGCTACTGATTCATTACAGATGATTCCTGGTTGACTTTTGACCATCCTGACCAATTATCTCACAGTAGCAGGTGATAGTTTTATGTTTTCTTCCTGATCATAGCAATAAAACAACTGTACCAGACACTATATACGTACAATTGCTTTTACAGTTGATTTAGGGATCTGTAGCTGCTTGAAATGTCTCCAAGTGATTTTCCTGACTTTAAATCAATGATTTGCTTTTTCAGATCTTTGCTGAGCTCCTCAGACTTTCTCACTGTATTCTTTGTTGCTGAGTCTGATGAGTGTATTTAACAGGCCGTAGTTAAATTAGCTCAGAGGAGTCACCAGCTATAGTCAACTGTAATCACTAACGAGAATTTAAGAGGCCATGAAACTAAGAAAATCTGATTCACACAACTTTCTACATCACCAAAACTAATAATTCAAGTTGCTGTAGGTATATTTTTGACCCAGAAGATTGTCATATTTCCAGAGGATCTATAATAATTTTATGAAATATCCAAAATACATATTTTGTTGACAAAGAGGCAGGATTTCAATGACTCCATCATAGAAAATTCAAAATTATAGGTGTCACTGGAAACTCAAGACTGCTGTGGTCTTTATAAGTGTATGTAAACTTTTGTTCACAACTGCATCAAAACAAGCAATGAATTTATGGTGCTAAAAGTTATTCCTATGTAGCCGAAGCTACCTTTTAGGTGACACATTTGTTGACCGAAAGGAAAGAAAATAGAGTAAAATGAGCCTTTAAGCTGTAGGAGTATTATGTGCCTTCATGTAACTACGTTAGTGGTGTAACCAAAGACACAGCTGCAGAAAACATGACTTAGATGGTGTCGTGTTGTTGTTCTCATACGCTACATGGTCCGTCCACATACTTTTGTGTCCTTTTGTGGTCTGAGGTTGTTTGTTCTCGTCTCTTTGCAATTCAATCAGAAGGCTTCAGTGTGCAGTACAATGATGTTTTAGACAATAGTGTATACCAACAGATTGTTTTGCCCTTCCCTGCTTCTACATAACAACAACCCTGTGTACAAAACAGCTTCATGAAGACACAGTTTGAGATCAACTTCAGCAACGCCAGAGTCGGAGTCAAGATTTTTGCATTAAGTCAAAATAATGAGACAAAGAGGCAAATATTCTTTTTTGTTATTATTATTTATTTCCTTGCTTGTTAAATACATTTTTAAAATTATGACAGAAAACACAAAAAGTCTGATTTGAAAATAAAATTCAAAATAAAAGAGTTTAAATGTCAGACTGAAACCAAAAGAGTGGGTGTAAAGTTTGGGTGTCCACATACTTGTGGTCGTATAACGTACTAATAGACGATTTATTTTGAAGTGACTGCAGCAATCATGGAGTTATTTACGTACAGTTTTGAGGTCTATTACTTTATACTTTTTACTTTGACTAGCGTTGCTTTGAAGATCTGGATTTTACAAACAAAATAAATGTCAGTTTTTAAAAGATGCCAGATAATCTTCTCAGCAGCATTATATGTACTCAGTGGCATCAATAAGTGGTGGCGACATACAGGCTCAGATGGAGAACATGTTTTTAAACTGTCTATGCAAATGTAAGCAAAGTATTTGGCTGATCTTTATGAGGTCAGAATAGATAATGAGGTGGAGGAAAAAGACTGCATAATAATATAACATCATAAAAACCATACACATCATAAAATGCAAAACACGATCCACCACATAACTCATCCATATGCATCAGACCCACACTACGTCAAACAAACAATGCCTTTATCACATGAAGCTGCAGTGCAACAATATCCAGCATCACGGCCTGAAAATATGACAAAACAGAAATAAATTGAGGAATAATATCAACTAATAAATCAAGATGTCAAGTTAAACTGCCTTGTTGTTGTTTCAATGCTTCGTTCTGTTGTAACAACAGAGAAACAAGAGTTTATGGGTCAAGCTCAGCAAAACAAGGTTTAATTAATAATATATGAGAACATTAAGTTTTTAACAAATCTTTCTCAAAGACTTCTCATTTTCAGAAATGTTACCAATGCAAGCTATTCTCAAAACATTTTTAGAAATTATACCTCATGTCATTTCAAAAAGTGGTGGAGACACGATCCCAGCATCCCCAGTGTAAATGACACCTGTGTACACATCTAAAACCAGCTTAAGAAAAACGCTTTAACATACTTTAGTGTTTCACCCTCCGTAACCTGAGCAAGTTCTGGGCGTTTGCTCCTGTCTCGTTTTTCCTTCACTGTGGGCTCATATTTCACTGCAACATAAAGTCCTGCACCTCTGTGGAGAAAGAGAGAGAGCTCCACTATTTTTTTTTTTGTGGAGTAGTGTGGTTTTCTTGTTCTATATCTTCTAAGAGTAGGGGGAAGTTTTGTTTTTCTCATGTTTTTTTTTTTTTCCGTTACTTTTTCCACCTTTTTTCCGGTTGGCCCCGGTTTTTGATTCTTAGAGGAAGAAAAAACACAGTTTTTTTTTCTTTTTTTATTTTTTCTTTTTTTTTTCCATACTGGTCTCCTATCTGCTCTTTGTAAACACAGCCTGCAGTTCAACCGAAACCTCCAGAATTTTTGTTATGTGACTGTTTTTTAGTTTGTCTGGTCAGCACGAATGGTTTAGTTTTTTAAGTAAGACATACAGTGATTTTTATCACGATTTGAGGTCACAGGCAACTAGTTCAAGGACTGTTGGAAAGCTGAAAATCAGACCATTTCCTCTGTATTCATAACGTTATGCAACCTTTGGTTCTGAAAAATGATGTAATTTGTGTAATTTATTATTGGAAAAAAAAAGCCTTTCAAACTCACCAGCAGGTTTTGAGCTTCAGAGAATTAAATGATCATGATAATCCAATGATCCAACTTCATGAAACCTTCAGTCTTTCAGTACATTTTACTGCTTTATGGTTCTGTACTTTTACTGTTTTTCCACTTTAATCTTCAGTGGAGCTTCAGTATAGACTGAAAATAACATAGATAAATAATGGAGAACATTCTGCTTTAGAAGATCAGTCACTTGAGATGATTCATGGAGTCTTTTTGATGAATCTAGCTGCTGTTTCTTTTACATGTTGGGTTTGTTTGCGCCTCATTTTGCTCAGTTGTGCGTCTCACAGTCTAAACATATTTGTGCGGTTGACGCTACACCTCAGAGGAATCTCATACTTTCCTAAAAATTTTCCACAGCACAGTTGTTTGATGACATTTCTTTAAAAAAAAAAAAAAGAAAGATATGTGAATGATCCACACCCTCTTCAAAACATGTGATACAGCTGTTCAGGGGGATTCTTCTCAGGTGAATGTGTGTTGTGTCCTCAACTGTTATCTAAATGTCAGTATCACACTCTTTTCCCCACTTCTTATTTAAGCACTCAGTTGAATATGTGCAGCTCCTTTTACTTAAATCTGAGCTTCTTCCACTTGCAGTTTGTGCATTTCTGAACTCAAGCAGCTCTTTTGTCAGCTACATTTGAATCACAGGATCTGATAGTAACTCCACTTTTCCTTTGTGTCCGTGGGAGCGACACTTTAGGAATGCTTCATCTGCTATCTTTGTCAGTCCGTTCTTGCTCTTTCAATTAAAAACCCAGCGTCGGCGGATCCAGTGACACTCTGAGCGCTGAAAGTTTCTCCTTCTTTCCGCAGCGACGGCTCATGTTTCACATCAAACATAAAAGCCTCCCATGTCTCTCTGTCCTCCCGTGTTTGAGAGGGTTTACGTAATGAGTCTGGTCATTAGTCGTGATCTGAAGGCTGCTAAAAGTAGCTGACATCTTATCCTGTAGTGTAATGCACCTCTTGATTAAGATCAGCTGATTGAAATCTTGACACCCGCTGCTAAAGGGAACAAACTCAGGCCAACACCCTGTTATGTAAGAGTCTCCAGACAATGAGCTTCCTTCAGGGTGGAGGCCACGTCTGTTGTGGGTGCTGCAAATGGGGTCGAGGTTCTTCCTTCTCCATTGACTATATTAAAGATGATCTTGTTGAACATCAAAGACACTTAAAAAAAAAGCTTGAGTTTTAAAGTTTATTCTTGAAATTTTAAAAAAAAGTGTTGGAAAAAAAAAGTCACCTCAAAATTTGTTTAGTAGTTTTCTGGAGTTTTCAGTCATATCACGTGATCTTCAACATGAAGATATTTATGTGTTTCTGAGCATTGTGGGGGTTTTTTTAGAACTTTTTTTTAATTGAGTTTCCCATCCCAGACAGCCGATAAAGTCTACATAAATAATATAAAAAACCAAAAAGATATTGTGAAGTACTGACGGCACTTGAGTAAGATTGTAGAACAATAATAAAGAAAAAATAAGTAAATGAGTGAAAGGAATAAAATAAACAAAAAATCCATGAATTAAAGAAAAAAAAAAAGTCAACACAAGACTACATATAAGATAAATGTACTGAGCATTGGTTTTAAAAGTGAGTTCAGTCCTAAGTCCTAAAGGTTTTAAAAAAGCTTAAGATTTTTCCTTAAGGTCCATTTAATAGCTCTTTGATCACATCACATAAACTTCATAAGAATGTAAGAAACCTGGGAAATAAAACGGGTTAAAAAGATTAATGCGATCAGTCTACGACAATCAAATGACTGTTTAAAATATCTGTTTTTTTAATGAGAAACCCAATGACAGTTATCCTAGCACAGGGGTGTCCAGTCCTGGTCCTCGAGAGCCCCTATTCAGCATGTTTTAGATGTTTCCCTCTTCTAACACACCTGATTCAAATGATCAGGATCGTTATCAGGCTTCTGCAGAGCTTGATGATGAGCTGATTATTTGAATCAGGTGTGTTGGAAGAGGGAAACATCTAAAACATGCTGGATAGGGGCTCTCGAGGACCAGGATTGGACACCCCTGTCCTAGACCCTGTGATTACCTCAGCTTCTCCTATGTGTGAGCACACGGTTCTGGTTTTCTGGTCACAGCGTTACTGTTTTGGTTCCCTCTCACTGCTGTCACAGTGTCATTAGTCAGAGAGGCAGATGTTTTCAAATGTACTTTACAAATCCAGCACTAAATGTCAGACAGACCCAGGAGCAACTAGTAAAAAGTCAGATAAACCTCCTTTCAGACATGCACTGTTTTTTCTGTTAATCTGGCGACATCTGAACACGTAACAAGTCTGAACAACGAGCACTGATAGATCCTAACGCACAAATGACCTACTTTCAGCTGCGCTAAGTGAGGCGGGACAGACTTTTTCCACATTTTAGCACCAATATTGATCCAAAAACATCACAGGGAGACACAGTTTCCTACTTTACTCTATAATTTTATATCTGTTGCAAACTGAAACCTTCAGAAAAATCTGACTTTACTGCATTGAAAACAGACTAATGGGTCAGATTAACCAATTAACTAAAAATGAACGTAATCCAGGTTGTGATATGATATTGACAGAAGTTTAATTTGTTGCTTCCATCTGGTTAGGAGTATTCCCTCTGACTTTATTAAACTCATGTGACAGCAGCATCTATATGAGCATCTCAAAAGAGAAAGATTTGTGCACATTAATGGAACAACAGAATAATTTTATTTATTTATTTTTAATTGCTTGTAATTAAAATGATCCCCAACATTTCATCACCTCAGACAGGGAAGCTGTCACACATAACTGCAGTTTACAAGCTGCAGTAAATCATTTGTTACGTGGCACATTTAGAGAAAAATAAATTGACCATAAAAACGCTTTACCCTGAAACTGAGCCTGGAGCAAAACAACTGATTGTTTCTTAGTGCGTCACTGACTGAATCCATAATACAGCTGAAAACTTTTAAACCTTTCGGAATCTAAAATGCACTTTCTATCATTGTTTTTGTAACTCTGTAATTGCTGTGACCTTTTTTTCTTGACACAAAATATCTGCAACTGTAAATCCGAGCTAAGCTTTGTGAGCCAAAAGTGCCGCTAACACTGGAACTGACTGGAAAACTCCTCATCCAACCTGTGAGAAATAAGCAGGAAAATCAAGACAATTACTGCTCTTCAGCTCCTCGGTCAGGCTTCCCTTTCACTGTTCAGGTTCACTGGCTGGACTACTTTGAATATCGGTTAACAACTGTGACGAGGAATCGAATGTGTAACGGCCGACCTGAAACCAGTTCACGTCCAGGCCTGGCTGAGCATCACCAGGCCGAGCTCACCGCAAATGGATTTTCTGGCTCGGTGCCACTTTCTGCACTTCAGCTCACATGATGCCATTTTTAGACAGCTGGCTTTGTGTGTGTGTGTGTGTGTGTGTGTGCGTCCGTCTGTGTGTGTCATATCAACAGACACTTACGTAATCAGCACTTCCTGGTAAAGCTGCCGTGGCCTTCTCTCATGTTTTGAACGTCAGCTTTCTTGGTAAATCTCTTTGTGGCGTGCAAATTTCAGTTCATCTGTGTTTGAAAAGGTTATGTTTGTTTGTCTCATCCGTCTTTTTGTTGTTGTTGTTGTTCTACTTCAGTATGGACACACTGGATGGAAAACTGTATGCATATATTCAAGTCTAAACATGGAAAACGGTTGACTTTTTTACTCCTGATTGAGGGTTTCTTATGAAGCAAAACTCTGAAAACAAATATTGGATAATAATTTGTGCAGCTGGACAAAGCAGGAGAGCTGATGGATGGATGGTTTTGAATTTTAAGAAACTTCTCCTCTCGGAAATAAATGCCAGGAACACTTACAGTCCACTGCAAATCTATGACAAACATTGCTGTAAATGTGCAGCAACATTGCCAAAGGTAGCTAGTGTCTGTCAGAAACCTCAACTTTTTGTAAGAATAGCTTCTCTAAGCTATAGTTCTGTCTCCCCTTCTACCTCAGCCCAACCGTATATAATAATAATAGTAATAACACAAAACAATCCACATTAAAAATATGAAAATAAAAAAAGCTTGCTCAGGAGGGATCCAGGGAATTCTTTGGTTCATGTATTATTATGTATTATTGAAACTTTATCTCTGAATTAGTCAGGTAAATCTCTACAATAAATAAGGTTAGGTTAAGTTCTGTCATTTATATCACCATAGAGTCTTCGCTTCATCATATTAGTGAAGCTATTCTACATAATTAACACTGTAGGATCTCAGCCTTGATATGCATCATTTTCAGGTTAAATTTTATATAAGTTTTGTGGAGTTTTAATCCCTAAAGATGTTAATGTCTTTGGTAAAATCATACCATAAATATCACAGTAGAGTTTTAAACCCAGTATCTAAACTTGTTAGGTTAACATGTGATGCCTTTTTTTGTTGTCAAACTAACTCACACATATTTTTTTTTACATTTTTAAAAACTTTAACTTGACTTCCCTGACTATATTGTAGAAGGTTTCTCATTTACGCTGCTTGATTATCAGTGCCTGAATCAACTCTGACTTCTTCTGAACGCTCAGTATTCCTGGATTTTGCACTAATCCTGCTCCATAAAAGCTGACACGTCAACATGACTGAAATTATGTTCGTTAGAAAGTGTGAAAAATAATGCAGATTAAGTGATTTTTTTTTTTTATTTTGAAAAAAACAAACCAAAAAAAACAGGTGGAACTGAAGGAGCACTAACAGTAATTCAGACGGATGAAACTCAGATCAAGCTAAATCTGACATTTCCCCAAACAGCCTCCATACAGGAGTTAAATCGTGTTATCCTCATGCCCCTCTCAGGCCAGATTACATACTGTGTCTTTAATTTTTGGGGTAACTTTGCAAATTTATCTTAGCTTTTATCATTTTAGCTGTTTCTTTATTTTGTGGTTCAGTAAAATGCTCACAATATCCTCAAGTGAATCTTTCCAAAGTGGAAATGTTGGTCTGAAAATCTTTAAATATTCATTCACTCAGTTAATAATTTGTAGAGTTGCAGCCCAATTCCTGCTGGTTCTAGATGAATGTGAAGAATCTTATTGAACAGTTAAATCATCTAAACAACCCACTGCACGGAGCAGACGACACACAGTGTGTTTGGGGGATTGCATGTGGGTCAGAGCTCCAGACGAACTACAGATATAAAAAGTGAAACAGTTGATGAATGCATCCACCTGCCGCATCTCCCAGCGTGCAAACCGACCTCCTTCTGTCCACACCGCTTGTTTAATGGCGTCTCGTCTGTCACAGCTGCCAGGAGGCTCAGGAGGAGCTGCTGGAGTTCCAGGAGGGGAGTCGGGAGCTGGAGGCCGAGCTGGAGGCTCAGCTGGGGCAGGCGGAGCATCGCATGAAGGACCTGCAGTCGGAGAACCACAGACTCAAGAATGAGGTGGAGACGCTCAAGGTAACGTCAGGAGTTTGTTATAACGACGAGAAAAGAACGTTAGGTTCAGTCGTCATCAGTATATAGTACATTTAAAACCACAGAGGTTGAGGTAAAGTGCTTTCTAATAGAGAAATAAGACTGACATTATACCCTACAGTATGATTTATTATATGAATCTACCTGAATAATTTAAATATGAGGGTAAAGACCTACAATATTATTTATTAGAATAAATTTAAATGCATAGACGTTGCAATAATATTTGTTATACAAGTTTAAATATTAAGCCTAAGACCTTAAAATGCTATATATAATATAAAATTATCTAAAAAAGTTTAAATATTAGGAATAAGACACCACAATATTATATTTACTATACAAATTTACCTGACTAAATTAAATTATTTTACGGTGAAGACTCCACAATATTTTTGTGATATAAATGTACCTGACAACTTTAAATAACGAGGTTTAGACCCCACAATATTTAATAGATTAATTTGTCTGACTAATTTAAATAATTAGGGTTAGACAGTGTAATATTATTTATTATATGAATTTACCTGAATAAGTTTAAATATTAAGGTTTGGACCCCACAGTGTTTTTGTCATATAAATGTCCCACACTAATTAAATTATTAAGCTTAGGACAACTTTACCGACTAATTTAAATTCTAAAGATAACACCCACAATATTATTCATTATGCAAAAATGATAATCGTACTGCTTCTTGTATGGTTTTAAGGATCTCCCAATTTGCATAATATCAGAGACAAAGTACAAATAAAGGTGATATCATATTTTACATATCCTCACTTAAATGATGCGTATGTCTGGTTTGATGTAATCTGCCAAGACATCAGTTGATTTATTTCGTACTTCAACTAAAATGCATTAACAACAGTTCACGCTTCGATGTGATGGCTGTTTGGTGGTTGACATTTAAAGTGATGTTACATTTTATTGCTGAACAATCAGTTGATTAATGAATCTTTTTTTTTTAAATGCCACTGTGGTGTCTGGAGCATTTTAATGGGCGATTTTTGCTGTTTTCTGGCATTTTATACACAAAATTGCAGCCCTACACGTCTTTTCAGACTCCTTTCTAAAATTGAGGTTACTGGCAAACTGGTTAACCTTTTGGCAATTTAACAAGGTCATATTTTTACATGCAAAGTAGTTTTATGGACACTGGTGGTGGATTCCTGGCTAGCAGCCAAAGAGGAGACCGAGACAGACGACCATTTATGCTCACATTCACACCTCTGGTCCATTTAGAACCACCAGTTAAACCACCGTGCATGTGTTTGCACTGTGGGAGGAAACCAGAGCAGGCACAGATGAACCTGCAGGAAACCTGAGAAGCAAGTTTGCCATAAATCTAATTTGCATTTGAAGTTTGTGGTGACATTGCCAGAAGGTGAACCAAACTGGCAATCTATGGCAATATTACCAGAAATGTTGTCTATGTCAAGTATGAAGGGACGAATGGCAAATTTATCACCAGGAGATTACTAGAAATGTAGCACTGCTGGTAAACTGTGGTGGACAACTTCTCATTTTTTGCCAGAAGTTGCTGGAAATGTACCTTTATTTTCCCACAATGGCAAACATGTGACAACTTTTTTGGCAAACTATTATCTTTACTGCAAATCCCCCTAAAATATTTTGCTTTTTTAAGTGACACTGTCCTGAATTTAACAAGAAAACCCTAAAATAACAGAAAAAGTGACCATATTTTTGTATCTTGTTATACAAAATTAGCCATAAGTTCACTGCAAGTTTTGATATTATCTTGTTATCTGATTTATCTTGAAAATTTAACAGGATCTTGAGGATTACAACGAATCCTCTCCGTTAATTCCTCCAACTTTGATGATAAATATTTGTAAATTCATGTCACATTCAAGGACCTTGACCGTGACTTTCCTCATGAATGTGCATTTCTGATGAGGCCAGCATTATGTATACGTTTCTGGCATTAACTAAACATTAAGGCTGCAGTAAGTGAGTACAGTATGTCTTCGTGTGTACCCTTGAGATAAATATTTGATGCCTTTTTTGTAGCCGTCATATAACATGACTGTCCTTGAGTGCAGCCTCCTGGGAGTAAAGTCACGCTGTAGCAGCTGCTGGTGATGCACTCGGCATTTATTTATTTTTCTAGTCAGCCTGCAGCCTTGGATTTTATATGTATACACAACAGGAGTAGCTGTTAGGACCTCGGCTATGCTCCAAAAAAACAAAAGTTAGAGGTTGACTCCAGGAAGAACAACATTAGCGTCTCATTTCTTGTCCTTTCTGGAGGCCAAACACTGTTATTGTGCCCTCGATGAGGAGTAAAGTCCAGGAGATGGTGTAGTTTGTGAATCCAAGTGTAATATAAATGGAAATCTCCCTTCAGTAAGATGCCTCCGTTCCAATCTGACCACCTGCTCCGTCCTAATCCGTCTGTAAACTCATGCAGCTGATCTGCACCACTCTCATGAATAATGCAGCAGATTGTGTCTCGTTCCTCATTCTCGCTCCATAATTACAAAAAGCTAAGTGGCACATTTTGCCGAGCGCCTGTTTCCAGCCGGGTGAGTCAAACCTCCAGCAGGGAGGAGAGGTTGGTGCCAAAGTGTCTGACAGGTTAAGCAGTAAAAACTCCCCGTACAGTGTTTTGTGGAGAAATTACAGGAGTTCTTTGGAGCAACCATGTGCTGCTGAGGAATCTTCATAACAAAACCATGCTGACTAACTTTGGACTCATGATAGATTCTTATTCTGCTGACAATTGCAGAACATTTCAGAAAGCACTGCATCTAGATTTTAAAAAAACGACAACATTTTAACTGTGATCACATTTCAAAAGAGGCGACATTCAAGGAAACCATGTAAAGTAGTACATTAAATAAAAAGGTACATTTTATTTTAATACAACATTATTTAACATATAGCAATGTTCCAAGTGTCTTATAATGAAATCAGAGCATTTTAGTGGCATGTCCATGTAATGGAAAAAACTTTTACTTCTTCCAAAGATGATTTTGTTTTCTTTCTCAAGTCTTAGTTGTTTTTTGAAAGGATCATGAAATGGAATAATAAAGTGAAAGGGGGAGACAAAAATATACCACCAACATAAATGAGATTTCTATATCCAATTAGCATTTTATTTTGTTCATTTCATTAAACTTACACTTTTTCAACTTCAAAATATCTCCAGGTTTTGTTTTTGGTTGACTTCTAATTTAAAGATGACAACATGTTGGAAGACACTGAAACATTTTTATAAAACATGGCAACATTTTATAACACATGGCAACATTTTACAAAACATGGCAGCATTTTATAAAACATGGCAGCATTTTATAACACATGGCAACATTTTACAAAACATGGCAACATTTTACAAAACATGGCAACATTCAGGAAAACATGGCAACAGTTTAGAAAACACAAACATTACAGTAAACACAGTAACCTTTTATTTTTTTAAACTGCAACATTGTAGAAAATGGCAACATTTTAGAGAACAGCAACATTTTTTGAAAACACAGCGACATTTTAGGGAATCCGGCAACATTTTGGAAAACATGACGAAAATTTGGAAAACACTGCAACAGTTTAGAAAATATGACATAATTTTAGAAAGTAACAGCAACATTTTCGAAAGTACGTTTAAGAAAACACGGCAACATTTTAGAAAACAGAAACGTTACAGGAAATACTAACTTTAGAAAAAAACAACACAGAAGCAATTTGGAAAACTTGGCAACCATTGTGAAAGCGATGACTTAGCAGTAAAGAGGGCAACATTTTAGAAAACAAAAATTTAGAAATCGCAATAAAATCTTTAACTTTTTTGTTAAATTCCATAAAACACAAGCACATTTCAAAAGGTACGGTCGCATTTCAAACACATTTTACATTCAAAGAGTCAAATATGAGTTTATGTTTGTTAAAACTTTGACAAGCGGACGCACCACAAACTCTTTACGTTGAAATAAGAGCACAGCAACATTTTAGAAAACACTGACTTCTTAGAAAAAAGGGACAAATGGTGTCCTTTATGAAAACACAGCAGCAATTTTGAAAACAGTATTTTACAAAACTAATCAACACATCAGAATACTGACACTATATTTTATAAAACAAATGATAGTAACAATACATCAAACACATCATTGTAGAAATAATGTTTTAAAATGCGGCTGTGTTTTCTGATTTCTTAATAATTCATCCAGTGCAGTCATGTTTTGCTGCACAGAGCTCAAACGTATCTGAGCTGGTATAATTTTCCCTTTAGTTGTTCCTGGAATGTGCTGAATGAGCCTCTGAGATCAAACGCTGCTCCGTGTGGCCTCCGTGTGTCTGCAGCTGATTCAGGCAGCAGATATAGGTCAGACGTACAGACAGGCCCGGTGGTGTTTATCGAGCTGATTGTCTCGGAGCTGCAGGATATATAGGTCACACTTCACATCCGCCGCCTTAATGGGGGAAGATAAATGAGGGAGGCCCTGAAAAATGGATGGAGATGTGAAGCTGCTAAATCACTTCCCTGCATGAAGCCGTTGCTCCGGCAGGTTTATGGGTTAAATGCACGACATCCAACATGCTGTCTGTCTTCATCCCGTCCTGTCCGTCCTCCTCAGGAGAAGCTGGAGCAGCAGTACTCTCAGAGCTACAAGCAGATCTCCATGCTGGAGGACGACCTCGGCCAGACCAGGAGCATCAAGGAGCAGCTGCACAAATACGTCCGGGAGCTCGAACAGTCCAACGACGACTTGGAAAGAGCGAAAAGGTCCGTCTGGATTCACTAAAACACAATAAAAAAACAATCACCTTCTGCACTTTTTCCTCCACTTTCCTTCTCCACTAAATTCAATATTTGGTTTAGAGCTTATTAAGGGCAATTTTACTTATATTCTGTCATTTTGCAAAACAAAATAAAAAAGCTTTTCCATGTCACATTTCAAAAAATTTAGGTTACTGGCTACTCTTTGGCAATGAAACAAGGTCATATATAACCGATTAACATAACGGACGCTAGACGTGTTGTTTTGTACTTTCAGGGTGTTTATATTTATAAAATGTAATGTATACATTTGTCAGTTTACATTAATATGACACATTTCTTTCTCAGGTGTACCAACCTTGTCATATATTAGCAAGCTAACGTTAGCTTTACCTCTTCAGTTAGCTTTGTAGCAGTGACAGCGAGCAGTTGCTGGGCATAAATTATGGTTGATCTCGATGTAAAAACTTTATTTATTTATTGATGTGTAAATCAAAGAATGCTGACTTTTGTTATAGTTAGGTCCAATTATAATACCACTCTCATACTTGTATAGCAAATACGCTTTAACGACTCGTTTAGCTTAGCTTAGCTTAGCTTAGCCTAGCATGAAGAGTGACAACCAGGACAAAACGGCTCGTTTATCTTCCTATCAGCATCTCTAAAGCTCACTGGTTAACATATTATGTCTAATTGAATTACTTAAAGCAAAATCCAAAACAATTCACCCTTTTACGTTATTAACATTCGAAAGTAACGTTTCCTGTATTATATTTTTGTACTGAAACAATCACTTCATTAAGTAATCAGCATTTTGTACCATTGGGTGCTGCTATGGTGTCTTGGGAAATTGTAAGTGGGCATTTTTTTGTTAGTTTCTGGCATTTTATACACAAAGAAATCGTATCCCAACTGGCCTTTTAAGGTCTCTTACAAAAATTGATGTTACTGGCAAACTGATTGTTTGGCAATGCAACAAGGTCGTATTTTTACATGCAAATTAAATGCATAAGTGGACTTCTGGCTGACAGACAGCTGCTCATGCTCACATTCACACCTCTGGTCCATTTACAACCAACATTTAAACCACAGACATAAACCTAATGTAAGTTTTCTACAAAGTTAGCCAGAAGTTTGCCAAAAATCTCATTTGCATATGACAAGTTGCTTTAAAGGTTAACTCCTACCGCCTGAATAATACCATTATTATCAGGAACGTTGTCAAACATAAACTTACTTGTTTGCCACTAATGACCAATTTATAACCAGAAAGTTGCTAGAAATTTAGCCCTACCTCAAATTGTGGTGGAAAACTTCTCATTATTGCCAGTATGTTGGTTTGTTGCACCAATCTGACCAAAGTTAGTGCATGTTTTAACCATGCAAAGGCGCTTTCCCCCCCCATCAAAGCAAATCTCTATTTAATCCATATGAAAATGTGCCTCATAAGCAGTTTTAAGACCTGGGTATAATTAGCAAAAGGCTCAGACACAATTGATTGCTGCCTTAAATTGGACTAGAATCAATGCTGCAGTTGTACGAGCCTCAGATATCGATCACTTACTGGTACTTGAAGGATAAATGGTAAATAAATGGGATGTTTGCATGGAGAACTAATCAAATGTGGTTCCCCTTAGAGCCACCATCGTGTCTCTGGAGAACTTTGAGCAGCGTCTGAACCAGGCCATCGAGAGGAACGCCTTCCTGGAGAGCGAGCTGGACGAGAAGGAATCGCTGCTGGTGTCTGTGCAGAGATTAAAGGACGAAGCCAGAGGTGATTACTGAGCAGACCTCGCCGATCGATGGCAGCTCATTAACATACAGCTGCTGCAGTTCTCCTCTTTCATTTAGAATATCTGCTTTCCCACGGACTTGCCTGAATTTCTCAGCCGATTTCTCTGTTGTGTTTTCAGACTTGCGGCAGGAGCTGGCCGTGAGGGAGCGGCAGGCGGACGTAACCAGGATGTCGGCGCCCAGTTCGCCCACACAGGACAACGTGAAGATGGACAGTGCTGTTCAGGCCTCCCTCTCCCTCCCTGCAACCCCGCTGAGCAAAGGTCTGGATAACGCCTTCGCCAACACAACAGGTAGCTGCAGCTCGTCTTCCCCTGAGTGCAAATACAGACGAGTACATCTGAGCTGATTTTAATTAAAATGTTCTGGTTTCTGCTGTTTGTATAGACATATCTACTGGCTGGTGCTCGTAGAGGGGGGAAAGGTCGTCATAAATAGGAGAAAAAAACATGCACTCATTCATTTTTAGTGGTGCAAGAAGTATTCAGATCCTTTACTTAAGTAAAAGCACCAGTTCAGCAAAGTACAGATCATCTGATACAAGTAAAAGTCCTGCAAGAAAGCTGCGCGTATGTAAAAATGCAAAAGTATTCGCAGCAAAATGTAGGCAGAGTATTGTAGTTAAAGTGCTGGTGTGGTTCCTCTGACTCATATTATTATATATGACATGATTAGATTCTAATCACTGAAGCATCGGTGAGTCGGCAGCAGGTTCCTGTAGCAGCTGCTACTACTATATATCCAGTTTGATAAACAGGGACAGACAATAAATCTGATGGTTAACGGGAGAGGAAAGAAGAAAAAACAGCAAATCTGATTTCAAATTTCCTCTAATCTGTTATTATTGCTGGAATAATGGATCATTCCATGGAAATGAGACGGTTTGGTGGAGCTGTTAACAACTGCTTTTTGGAAAAAGACAACATTACTGGTTTAATAGTTTTCATTGTGTTGTGTTTAAAAGTGTATTATATATCCATATATTGTTGTGCTAATTCTTCATCTTCTAAAAAAGATGTCAGATAAACATGCCAGAGTATACTTTCCTCTGAAATGCGGTGGTGTGGGAATATGAAGTAGTATAAAATGGAAATACTAAGTACAAGTTCATTAAAATACTACTGAAGTACAGGTACTTATATACTTTCTGCCATTTTTTCAACTGCTAAAAATCCCATTTTAGAATTGAAAGGTTGGTAATGAAAAGCCCTTAATACATTTAGGCTCAGCTCTAAAAATAAATACAACAGAATAAAAACATGGTGGATTATAAATAGATTATAAAACAAGTATCTAAAATGTCAAAGTGACGTTTATTTTCATTCAAGACCTTTTTTTTTTTTTTTTTAGATCAGTTTGCACAAAAGCCGACATAAATATGCGTTTGAAATCAAGCCTGCAACACAATAACAGGCTTGAATATGCTCTAAAGCATCTGTATAGACATGCTGCATCTAAAATCGCTCCTTATTTACTGTCATTTTATTTGAGTGTCATGAGTTTACCACCATAAAATCTCTTACACTGGAAAGAAAAACATGTCTACTCTGTGTTACCATCCCATGTTGTGTTTTTATGATGCAAAAAATGATATAGTGATGCAGAAATGTCTGAAATATACATTTGCTGAATGAAATATTGAAGGTTTATTAAATCTGGGGCAGTAAATAAGTAAATGAAGCAACCTCTCAACTGTGAACCTTTTTCTTTCCTGTCTTCTTCTCAGTGCTGTCGAATGGTTTCGGCAGCAACTCTCCTCTGACTCCCTCGGCCAGAATATCAGCCCTGAACATCGTCAGCGATTTGCTCCGGAAAGTCGGGGTGAGTCGGTCCTTCCTTCTCTTCATCTTCCTGGTGTCGGACCTCCGATTCTCCTCCAGCTTCATGTGTGAAGTGTTTTGTCGTCTTGTTTCTCTTCTCCTCAGGCTCTGGAGTCGAAGCTCGCCGCCTGCAGGAACTTTGCAAAGGACCAGAAAGCGAGGAAGGCATTCGCTCTGGACAACAGCAACGCGCTGAACGCAAACACGGCCAACTACAACTCGCAAGCACTGCACACGTCGTACTTTGACAAAGCGTGAGTCACCTACTGCAGTGTCACAGCTTAAATCTGAATATGCACAGTTGTTGTGAATGAATACAGAGATACTGAGGAGCATCTGAGACTTTGTGTGCGTTTTTTTCTCCCAGCAGAACTGAGATGGTCACGTTCCCGACGTTAATTCTGGGTAATTGCAGCTCTGTGGCCTGTTAGCTGAGTGTGTTGGGCTCCTGCATGCTGGTTCTTAACAAGCCTCTTTTCCCATTGCGTAGAAATAACAAACTGTTCCAGGCTGCTGCTGCTGCTGCTGCTGCTGCTGGTGGTGGAATTATCTCTCAACTTTAAGCTGACCTAGTTCTCCCTGTCTGTGTACTAGTTTCAGGTGTTTGTGTTGTTCTAGTTGTAGATTTAGGCATTAATATAATTACCAAAGTCGGGTGTTGCTGTGCTTTTGGTGTCTTGGGAATGAAGGCGAGGAATTTATTGTCAGAAGCTTCAAGGATCTTGAGGAAAATTGTTGGTTAAAGTCTTGATTTATTTTGTTTGGAGAGGTGGGCTGCTTTTTAAACATTCTCTGTGCAAATTTATGTGGTTATTTTTCCAACCTCATCCCCGTTATAATTACAGCCGCTGAGTTATCGGCCAACTTTGAGCCCCTCCTGTAATTTAAATCCCCTTAGGAGCTGTGAATCTGTATTTTAAGTGGATTTTGTTTTTCCGTGGGACGAGCTGCGCAGCTTGGGGAAAGTGCTGGGACAGTTTTAAGCCAATATGATGATAGAAACAATTAAACAGAAGAGAAAGACTCTAATGTGCGGCTGTAGCGTCGGCTGCATTTAGATGCTGGTCTTGTCGGTTAGAGGCCACATCCTGCAATTTAATGATGGTAAAAATGACATCCAGAACAATGAGTGAAATGTCAACAGAGCACACACAATGTTTTATAGTGAAGGATGAGGCTGCTATTGTTCTATATTTTTTGTTTTTGAGGTCAAATTCCATAAAAAGATCACTATAAATCCCTCATTCTTCGCTGGTCTGTCAAAAGCACTCAAGATAACTGGTTGCTTTGGAGACATAAATCTTTCAGAACAGCTCACAAATGTAGGTTTTTAAAAGGTTTTTTTTTTTTTCTTAAAAAAATATCTAGACCATCTGCGTTTTGTTGTTTTTAGCAAAAAACTACAGAACAGGTAATAGGGGCATAATCGAGGGCCTGTTTTCATCCCCACAGTAATACAGATTTGGTGCTTTAGGTGGCTTTCAGATCATTTTATTAGATCGGACTTAGTAATAGAGTAATATTTAGTAACTAGTAACTATTTCTCAGTCATGGTAACGAAAATGCACTCACACAGGAAATATTTTAAATTGTGTGGTGATTTTGGGAAGAGGGCTGCAAGGTGGAGCGGTGGTTAGCACTGTTGCCTCGCAGCAAGAAGATTGCCGGTTCATGTCCAGGACACCCGGGATCTTTCTGTGTGCATGTTCTCCCCAAGAAGCGTGGGTTCTCACCGGGTTCTCCGGCTTCCTCCCACAAGGTCCAAAAACAAGTTGAGGTTAATTGGTGATTGTAAATTGTCCGTAGGTGTGAATGTGAGTGTGCTTGGTTGTCTGTCTCTAAGTGTAGCCCTGTGATAGACTGGTGACCTGTCCAGGGTGTCTCCTGCCTTCACCCTGAGTCAGCTGGGATAGACTCCAGCCCCCTGCGACCCTCATGAGGATTAAACGGTGTATAGATAATGGATGGATGGATAGATTTTGGGATGGCTTTTTTTAAGATGCACCAATAACAAATGTAATCTAGGTTTTCACAAAATGTAAACAGAAGCTGAAGTTTGTTGTTTCCAGGTATTTGTAAATCATTCCTCTAGGTTTAAAAACTACCTGCAGCAGGATCTATACAGGTGTCTCCACAGGAAATCATTCTAAATGATGGATGAGAATTTGTTGGCAGGTCATACTGTGAATTTTCCTTCACCTCAGACAGGTGAACTGTCACACAGAGTCACATTTTGTCAGCTGCAGGTAAATAGTTAGTTAAATCAGCTGCCGGCATGTTTTTGTTTCTCTATTGGTAAAGTTGTAGTTCGATTGTCCTCATGCATGGACATAATTATCAGTATTTAGGACGTCGGAAATAAATTAAGCTGTTGTTATTTGGACAGTTCTATTAGTGCTGCTATTAGTTTGGATTTAGTCATTTTAATTATAAGTGATTTAATGTGTATTACACTTACCTTTATTTACTGTCCAATCTACCATGAGGAACATAAAATCACTTTTCATTGTCATATGTGATTTCAACACACCGATGAAGCCAGAAACGATACCATGTCTGGAAATGGCTTTGCTAAGTATTCACAGCAGCAGGATAGTGTACATGAGATGTAAACACAATAAGCTAGTGTGTGTGTGTTTTTTAATGTCACAAAAAAACAGATATTTAAGGTTTTGCATACACACATAACACTTCTTAGTAGGATCAAGCCGTTGGATTTGGTCTTCAATAGTGAAAATTAATAACAGCGATGCAAGTCAAATCGTTTGCTGTTACTCTGATTTATGCTCATGCTGACAACAGTTCCTTGTTGTATAAAGCTTGTGGTGAGAGCAGGGAGGCAGTTTCTGCTGTGTTACAGGAAACTGAAGAGTCTGCAGATACAACAAGGACATTCATTGTCCGTCTGGTGTCAGTGCAGGGAGCTGCTGCATACAGTCCTGTTCACCTTCAGTCTCATCTGAGCTGTCATACTGAAAATCAAAAAGTGGTGCAGCCAGCATTGAATGGTGGTGTTTACCCATTTTTAGATTTTATTTTATAAAGGCCCAAGTCTGTATTGATGCATTTTGGTTTAGTTTGTTGAATCATAAAAAGGTCAAACGAGGTAGTTTGTGTTGACACCAGTGTAGAAACTTCCTTATAATACCCAGCACTCCTTTGAAACTTTACTTTCACTTGCTCATCTTAAAGCTCGTCTCTTATTGTGCTCCGGACTTTGCTTTTCAGAGTCAACACTCAGACCTCAAACCACACAAGAGAAAGCGATCATAGCCCAACAATGACCCGCAGTAGAAACCAGTTAAACCAGCCCATCAGGCCGATTCTCCACCTGCCCTCCCAGTTTCTGCTGTCATTTTTAGCAACACGGGCCTGAGTTTGTTTAAATCTCTTCACGTCTGTGGTGCAGCTGCAGCGTCCTCTGTGTTGACAGATGCAGGCAGGTTGAAAACGAGGACACGGCGCTCAGGTCGACGCCGAGTCTGAAGAACTGACAGTGAAAATAAAAAGCTTCAGTCAGTCAGAGTTCCATCAGCAGTGGACTGTAACCAAGTGTATTTACTCAAGTACTGTACCTTTAATATAAATTTAAGGTTCTTCACTTGAATTTTTTTTTAATGCCACTTTAGGCCTCTAGTATGCTGCATTTCAGAGGGAAATACTGGGATTTTTATTTTTCTTCATTTATCTGAGAGCTTTAAAATTAAAGTTTTCACATTGAAATTTTTAATTTACTGTGTTTTCATCATTGCTAACTTTCTTAACCTTTCAGTAATGGGCTTCTATACTTACCACACTATAATAAATTATTTTTTTAACTCAAACATTTTAACTCTATTTTTTTTTCTTAAACAACTTAGTGTTATTTTACAGGTTTTTCTTGTTTTGTTTAATTCCAGATAAAAGGTCATACTTTAAGAAAAACATGCCCAGAACTGTAAATAATGTCCGTAGTGTTTATACAGATATGAATTCATTACTTTACTATATTTGTAAACTGTGAAATTACACATTTTTACTTCATTTAAATTACCCAAAGATCTCATTATTTTAAAGGTACATGCTGTTTTTTGAAAAGGAAATGATTTTTCTGTTTTTTAAAGTCTCCTTGTTATTGTCTTGCAGCAGGACCGTGAACAGACTGGAACCTTCTAACCTCACGGCCATCACCGCCCCCCCGGCTGCCTCCTCCCCGGGCTTAGTGCCCCTCGCTGTGTGACGCTAACTGCCCCTGGTAACCCCTCCCAACACACCTGCCCCGCCTCGGGGCAAAACAGGGAACACGGATACTGTAAAACTCTGTACTGTTGCTCCGGTTTTCTCCTAGTCTTCCCACACTTTCTCTCTCTTGTGCTTCGTTCCTGCTGTAATTCTGTCTGTATATTTAATGTGTTACTGTGTCTGCTGTTTGCTCACTGATGTGTACAAAGACTGAAGGCCTCTCTGCTTCCGATCTCCCCTGATTAGTGAAGTGCTTTCTGAGTGCACCATATCACCTAAAAAGCTAAATATTATGCAATTAGCGCTGGAGAATCTGGTGAAGCAGTCAAAATTAGTACTTTTTTTTAAAAACACAAACAGCTTTTCCCACCACTTTAATTAGCAGTAAGTTCAGTTTAACCACTCAGACTCCCTGCTGAACGGAGAAGCAGCAGGTTTAATGGGTTGTACAGATGTCCTGAATAATTTCGTGCCACACGTCTCCATCAATTATTGATGTCTTAAATCATCCGACATACAAACCTTGATTCTTTCTGAGCGTTATCTCTGGGTAATGATTTTGGCTTCTAACTGTTATCTCGTGACCCTCGTGTTCACCACATTTGACTTGTATATGGTTTCACTGCTGTTCTAATTAAGAGGAGTCTTTGTGTCATTGCGTTGAGTCAAACACACCATCTAACTTCTGAACTATGTGACATGACGTGTACAGTATTGGTCATATTGATCGTTATTAATAAGCAGTGATGCTGTCGTAGTGTTCAGACCAGTTAACCAGCATTCTTCTGTTCTCTAGTCCAAGTGTTTTATCCGACGTTCTTGTTACTTTATTATCACACAGCCCGTTTTCACTTCTGCAAAGTGAAGCACTTTGATCTTGCGTTGAGTCTTTTTTTCTGTTTTTCTTTTTCATTCAAGTGCAATATTGCCTGTTTGTTATTGTTTGTGGGTTTAATTTATTTCACTTTTCTTTTATAGCATGTTTCAATAAAAGATGTAATTATACTCCACCTATCACATTTGCAGTATTTCAGTCTGTTCTTATTGTGGAGGAAGCTCTAGCGGTGACTAACTATTATCTGCAGCTAGAAATACAACAATTAGCTGAAAACTTATTTTCAGTCTCTGGCTCCAGCTTTAAATATTTGAGTTATTTTTCAGTTTACCAACACTGTCATCTGAATATCTTTGAGCTTTGGACTCTTATTCAATCAAAACAGAACATTTGAAGATGTAATTTGACTAATTTTACTACTACAGCAGGTCTCCAAGATGAAGAGCCTCTGGATCGTTGGAACAAGGCAGGTAAGGTAAGTCGGCAAGTTGGATCTGTAACTTTGGGACAAGGATTGGCTCAATTGTCACTGTTTTTTCCTGTTTATCTGCCAACCAAACTGCCTGTATGAGATGTGAGTGACGTGATGATATTGCAGCTCATAAAGATTACAGTCAAATATGTGAGGGGACAGTAAAAAATGTCTAAATACTACATTAACTAATTTAACTTTTAGAAAATGTTTTGTACATTATTTTGTCAAACTGATTAATTACTAGAATAATCAGCAGTTTAATCAAAGAGCTGTTTTCAATCTTGATTGATGTATTTTTTTGACTTATTAATCAATTTAGTCTTCAAAAGATTAAAACAAAATGCCCAAGTTTTGAAAACTTAAGATGACATTGTCAAACTGCTTTTTTGTGTCTAAAAACCAAATATATTCAATGGACATTTACATAAAATGGCCAAATGGCTCATGGTGTTCATATTTATGAAGCTTGTAGCAGAAAATGATTTGTTTGTTTTTGTCAATTTACAGCAGTCTTATTGCTGCTCTATTACTAATAGAAATTACACTAATATTAACCCTGTTGCAGGTTATGTTTCTGTTATATTGCGTTTTTTATCTTTATCTGTCAGAGGTTTTATGTGTTTTATTGTATTTACTAAAACTTAAATCTGCCTTAAATTACAGCTGACAGTTTTGCCAACAGTGCTGGTTTGCAGTGATGGTAAGTGTATTTCCTTAAGAGCTGTATTTAAGTACAAGTCTGAGGTACTTTTACTTCACTTCATTTTATGCTATTTTATACTTGTGTAACTCCACTACATTTATCTGACAGCTTTTAGTTACTTGAGCACTTTTCAGATTAGAATTTTATCATTTGTAATTCATAAAGTATCTAAATGTAGATGCAAACTAACAAATCACAGTATTAAGTAATGACATCCTCAAAGTATTCATGAATATAAAACTGGCAATTAACTTGTTACCTTTATTTTAATACTTCAAGTGCATGTTGTTGATAATACTTCAGCTTCTTCAGCAGTTTGGATGTATTTTTCCTGCTGTTCCAGGCAGCCATCAGACTGAATTCATTCCTACACAACATGAATATAAACCAGCCATCTCTTGACAGGTGCTTGAATTGTACCATCCATCACTGAGGACATGTCAGATTGATTTAAAAATCTGCTCGGCTTTACTGAACCGACAGGAATGTTGGCAGACTGGATACTTGTTAGACAGGATTAGAGTCTGAGGTTTGATTTATAGACCTGATGGAAGCCAACAGAGGGAAAAAAACACCTGGAAATCCAACTGTGCACAATGTGTCATCAGCAACGTAAAGCACGTGAGTCTTTATTAAAGAGCTGAAACCTGCACCAATATGGTCCTTCAGGTTGCAGCCAACTCTGCCACCTGCTGGACAAACATGCAAGTACAAGACGAGATCTAATTTTAGAATTCTTTTCATATAATCATTCATAATCATGTCTCAAAACAGACACACACAGTTGCTGCATTAATCGAAACACTTTGGCCTCCTGCACATCAAATGTGTCCAACACAGGTTTCTTCACTTGTTTTTATACAGTGTGAGGATTACCTAAATAAATCCATTACTGACACAGGGAAAGATATTTTTAAGGCCTTTGTTTAACAGGTCAGTCCTTTCACATCGGCCTGTGTACAACAGGATGTATGAACCTGCTCAACATGACAGTCTGTTGGAGAATCATTGTACAGAACAACAGCGAGGTTCAAGCTGCTGCGTTCAGTCGCTTCCCGCCTGCTTCTTCTTCTCGGCCAGTTCGTCTATCTGCTTTTGCCGCCTCTCCAGCACCTCCATCCTCTTGGCGAGGTTGCGTTCACGCTCCTGAGCCCTGAGCTCAGCTATGTCCTCGAAGAACAAGTGCCTGAAGGATGGAGAGAGCAATAAACTGTCAGGAAAATTCACAGTTTAACATCACTCACTGACACTGCTAAATCCTTCCATTGAAGTAACATCAGCCTGATGCCAAGCTAAACAATAAATCTATTTCAATTTGGAGTTACGATTTCATACAATCAAATTTATGTATCACAGAAGCTGCAATTTTGGATGATATGCTATCCACCACATCGGTTCAAGGATTTAAACTGATTTTAGAAGTGTATGCTATTTCATGTGGTAATGAAAACTTGACTTTAAAACATCATATTGCAGAAAAAAAATTGGAATATCTGTATGAAACATCAAATATTTTGATTACAATTTTCCTAACTTTTTCAGTAAGTTTAATATCGACTGCTTATGAAATGACACTGACATCTACAACTGAGGGAAGTGTTGAAAACACACCAAAAAAAATAATCAACAACATGTACTTTTAAGGGACACAAATTATATTTAATATAGCTTCAGTGGAAACAAAGTGTAGGTCTGAAATACTGCTCAGTGCAACACTAAATTTCACTTCTAATTACTATTTAGTTGAGATATTATGTTCTGGGACTTTATTAGTGAACCCTTTCCCCTCACCTGCATCTGCATCTTCATCTTTTAATGACTGATTAGAGGGTTGGTCACCCCAATTACTATTAAATAAAATTACTATGAAAAATTTAAGTGAGCTATTATTATTATTATTATTATTATTATTATTATTATAAGATATACAAATCTCAGTCCACCTGGTAGCTGATTATAGCTGAAAATCATCATAAATAACGCCCTTTACTCCAAGGCTTACACTTTAAATTCATTTTACTCTAGAATAATTTAAGAATTGTTCATCTATCAAGCTATAATCTTAAGTATGTGGGCCAAGCTCTCACTGTGTCAAGATTCCAGCAAAACCTCTGCATGCAATACAAACATTATCAGCTTGGGAAAGGTGTAAATGTGATATTTGAAGGTGAACAGGTGCATAAAAATGCCTCATACCTATTGACGAAAGCAGTAGCCAGCCCAACAATCAGCGTCCCAAACAGAATGGGTTTGGTTAAACGCTTTACAGCTGACAGCTTGTGTTGCTTCATTGTAGATAAATATCCGTGAGGAGGCTGAATGCCGGAAAACACACAGAAAATGAACCTACATGAGTTTGGTAGCTGACCTTTCCACAGATCACAAGCTGAGGTAACAGTTCAGACACTCCTCCATGTCCTGCAGATTGTCACGTACACAAACACTTCCGTTCGCGCTGACGTCACGTCCGTCCCCAGAGTTAAGGGGAATATTTTAAGACACATTTTAAATTTTGTTATTGCTTTTTACATTTCTTTTTGTTTATTTTTTTTCTCTTTGTTTGTGGCTGAGTTTACTGAATATTTTATTTTAAAACTCACATCGATTAAGCGGAACCCTACTCGTACCCGCGCAGTTCCACGGACGTATTTTGGAGACGGAACAAACCGGGAAACACGCGACAACCTTCGGTTGTTTTTTTGACCGTTTTTTTGGTTTTTTTTTTGTATAAGGTGGTGGAAGTGAAGAGTGAAACTGATGCTAGAAGATGTGGAGGAAAAGCTCAGCTGAAAGCTCCGACCGGTTTGAATATTTACAGACTTTGGTCACTGAGTTTCAGGACACCGACAGTGATGGTGAGGAAGATTTCATTTCAGGGTTTCACTGATTTGTGCTGAAAACACTCATTCTCTAAAAAAGCTGCTGAGAGTTATGGTGGAGGTATCTGTAAATGAACAAGCCGTTAGTTGTAATATTTAAAGGCACAGCCCGACATATAAATAGAAATTCTAAGATTCTCAAGTTAATTAGGCTACAGAGCTGCTGCCACAAAAGACTGATAGTTTTAGACATTAACAGATAAACTGAGCTAATACAAAGGACATCTGATGCAAAAGTTCTGTAATAAGTCCTCCTTTCAGTTTGTGTTGTTGTTGAACTGTTTGCTCTGCAAGGAAAAGGGTTGTGATGCTGGGTTTGTTTTGTTTAGCTCTTTCTCACTGTGTTTGATTATATTACAGTCATTCAAGGGTTTTTCTTCATTTGTACAACTTCTTCTTAGTGCTGATTTTTCATGTCAAATTTAACTCTAATTCTATATCAGAATCAGAAATACTTTATTGATCAACTAGGGGAAATAGCTTTCTGTTACAGGTGCTCTCATTCAAAAGTCCTAAGAGAAATAGGAAAGTATAAAACATAATAAAAAATATAGACATAAGTATGAGTATAAAATAAAATATATCTAAACACAAAATTTAAATGTACATTCTACTCTTGTAGTATATAAAGTGCAATAATAATGCTACTATTTACCTACAGTTGAATTTTGGATGATTGCACATGGAAATAGTTATTGGCCAATAATAAAAGTGTCTGACACTCAGAGTGAAGAGTTGTGTAGTCTGATGCCACAGACAGAAATGACTTCCTGTGGCGGTCTGTGGTGCATTTTGGTGAAATCAGTCTTGCACTGAAAGTACTCCTGTAGCTGATCAGTACATCGTGGAGTGGGTGTGACATGTAGTTCAAGATGACATGCAGCTTGGACAGCATCCTCCTCTCCGACACCTCCGTCGGAGAGTCTAGCTTCACTCCCACAACGTCACTGGCCTTGCGAATCAGTCTGTTCAGTCTTGGTGTCAGCTACCCTCCATATGTGGACATGCCTGCAGCTTATGTGGTGCAGAAGTTACTGGGTGTGTCTTAAATTAGTGGCAAAAAAATATTTCTTATAGAGGAGAACATAGCTGCTGATTTCTTCATCATTTGCCTGAAGTTTCCTTTAAAAAAAAAATGTAAGGAGGATTATTGATATGATAAAGTATATCTAGTACACTGAGTAGTACATACTTGGTACACAGTGTGTGAATGAATACAACATTTATAACAGGAACATAAGAAATATGATTTGCTATATCTAACATCAAGATAAAACTAAAGTTTGTTGTCAGACTTAATTTGTTTACATTGATTTTGATCTTTTCATTTCATCCCTGCTGTTTAAATGGCATTGTAGTGCATACTGGGTGTTTAATATTCATGTTTACATGTTAAATTCTGGTAATGCTTTTTAACATACAGAGAAATATTTCTGTGTGTATGATAAAAAGAAAGGAATGAAATTAATGTTCAAATTGTACGTGTAAGTTTAAATGTAAAAGTTAAGACACTACAATGTTATTTAGTAAATTTGCCTGACTAATTTAAGTAAGACTTATGCCATACCCTAGTTCCCACTTGTAAAATGAACTTTTCAGCGCCTCCCGGTGGATTAAATATGCACCATTTCTGTACTACAGCCTCTCCTGACCAACATATGAGCTGATACCAGTATGTTGGTGATCAGTGCATCTAATTTAAATGAACTTGTTCCGGTATTTATTCAGCTTTTTAACTCTATAAATCTTTTGTCTACATCAGAGGCGAAGGAGCAGGTGCTGGCTAACTTGGCCAACTTTGCTTATGACCCAAAGAACATGGATTATCTGAGGGAGCTGCAGGTGGCCGACCTCTTCCTGGACATGTTGACTGAGGAGAACGAGAACTTTGTGGAGTTTGGCATGGGTAAGCATCACACCCACAGAAACTATAAATCCTCATCACTCCTGTGTCATGAATGTCACAACGCTAACTCGTCTCTTTGTGTTGCATGTCCTCAGGTGGGCTGTGTAACCTCAGCATGGACCCTGGATGCAGAGACGTCATCCTGCAGAGCGACGGGATCAGTTTAGTCACAAACCGTCTGGCTAGTCAGAGGGAAGAGACTGTTCTGTCGGCCGTCACCACCCTCATGAACCTCGTAACTCCATCGTCCCGCTCTCAGATCACAGATCCAGCCATCCTGCAGTGCATGCTGCGCTTCTCCCTCTCAGAGAGCCCTCGACTGCGCAACCTGGCCGCTGTCTTCCTGCAGGACGTCTGCAGCGAGGAGCAGGTGAGCCGAGCCGAGCAGCAGATGAAGGTTCAACAGACGGCGGTCGGCATCCCGCTGCCGAAGGACTGATCCACAGCGAGGAGCTGCTGAATGTAAGTTCATGAGTTTTCTCTTTATTTTACACAATGTGGCCAAACGTTTATGGACCAACATTACACGCACACATGTAGCTGTAAAGGCATCTCCTTCTAAAACAAATCATCTGCTGCTGTTACAGCCTCAGCTCCTCCAGATGTCTGTACTATGAAGCAGAATGTGGGTTTAGGGAGGTAACAAGCAGGGTGGCTGTGGCTCAGGTGGTAGAGCGGTTGTCCTCTGATTGTAAAGTTGGTGGTTCGATCCCCCGCCCCTCCACATTTGAAGTGTCTTTGGGCAAGACACTGAACTTGAAGTTCCTCCCAACTCCGATAACGCTCTCAGCTCCTCTCACTATCCTCTGCAGGGCTTTTCTGTCTGACACACTGCAGCTGGAGCATCATGTTGAGATGCAGTATGTCAGAACGCTCTCCACCACACCTCTGTAAAAAGTCCTGAGGATTCTGGTAGGGTGATAGGCTTGTTTCAGCTTCCTCAGGAAATGCAGTCTCTGCTGGGACTGACTGCCAATGGCAGGCAGCACCTTGCATGGCAGCTCTGTTGCCATTGGTGTATGAATGTGTGTGAATATGGGTAAATGAGAAACACATTGTAAAGCGCTTTGAGTGCTGCTAAGGTAGAAAAGCGCTATATAAATGCAGACCATTTACCATGTAATGTCAGGTTTATCCTCAGATTGTTTTTCATACCTATTACAAATTGCAAAGCAACAGTTGACAGACTTCACATTTGAGAAAAAAAGCTTAATTTTCAGTCTACAGCTCTTATTACTCAAATTAAGTTCCAATAAGTTTAATTAAAATGAGCGTCATTTTGCCACAGAATCATGATTTAGTATTCATATATTTATATTCAGCATCAGCGGTTGCACAGTGGAGAGAATGGAGAACATCAAGTTCCTCGGAGTGCAGATCTCACAGGACCTGAGCTGGAATAAGAGCATCACAGCGATCATCAAACAGTCCCAGCAGAGACTGCATTTCCTGAGAAAGCTGAAACAAGCGTCTCTCCCTGCCGGCATCCTCAGGACTTTTTACAGAGGTGTGGTGGAGAGCGTTCTGACACACTACATCTCAGCATGGTGCTCCAGCTGCAGTGTGTCAGACAGAAAAGCCCTGCAGAGGATAGTGAGAGGAGCTGAGAGGGTCATCGGAGTTTCCCGTACAAGAACTTTTCCAGAGTCACTGCAGGAGCAGAGTACTGAACATTGTCAGGGACTCCTCACAGCCTCTCCATGAACTGTTTGAACTGCTACCATCAGGCAAACGTTTCTGGACCATTAATGGTAGAACCTCCAGAATGATCAACAGCTTCAATCCACAAGCTGTCAGAATGCTGAACTGCTGATGTAGATATGCAAACACTTGTTTAAATTGCTTTAAGTTATTGGATCCTGAAGAAACACTCTTTCATCTTGCCTGTACTACTGTGTATGTACAGCAAAATGACAATAAACTTGGTTTGATTTAATCTGCAGTACCAGCAGTGTAAAACAGACTGTGCACCAAATCAGGACCAAGTATAAAAACAGTGGGATTGGTAACATAGACAGTGCTGCCTCAGCTGAGAGTCTGTGTCGCTCATAGAGAACATGGTCAGGAACAGAACTGGTGAAAGGTTGGAGCGTCTTGATTTAAACCGATTAAACCCCAAACTAATCTCCTCCAGAGCAGCATCAGTTACCGTGGCGATCTAGCCGGTTAAAAGAGAGCATCCTTTAGGTTTTAGGCTCAACACACCTCACTAACCCTCTAATCTCGCTTCATATGACACCCGTCTGGCTGCAGCTGCAAGTTCTGACTCTGCACATTGTAGTTTTCAAGTTGTTCTGCTGGTCCACATAGCTTTGGTCGCATTGTGTGTTCTGTATTTCCCTCCTGTGCTTGAATCTCAGTGCTGTGCTCTTTCTGACCACCTGAGGGAGACTCGGTAACTTGTGTTAAAGTGAACGACTCTTCTGCAGCTTTTGGCAGCACACAGTCGGACTGACTGAGAGATTAATACAATTAATCCTAATTGTACAAAAGCAGCATGTTAACAGTGTAATTTTGAAACCTCCAAACCAAAGTCTTGAGTGTAGAGAGAGAAACAGACTCGCTCGCTGGCGTCTCGTTACCTGTTTTCCCACAAAAATGTACATTCCTTTGGCTTTCAAGTGATTTCCTAAAACCCAGGGCGGCCGCTGGAGCGCGTTACAGCCAACTCCTGCGCCTGGCACTCTCAGGAAGAATACCATGTCCTGAAACATTTAATCCAAACCCAAAATATGTCAAATAAAAACTGCTAAGTAAACTTTGAGGTTCCTACTTAAGAGCCAGGAGCACCGTTTGTTTTCTTCTGGGCTTTTAGGAGCTATTTCTGGGCCGAGTCCTTCAGGTCTAGACAGGAGACGACATCCGATCCTGCAGCCCAGCGTCAGGTGGACTGCACATGTAGCCGCTCAGGAAATTCTTTACAGCTTCCAGTGTGTGTCCACGATACCCGCTCACTTTAAAGTTCTCTTTTTTTTCCACAACCTGGATCCGTGTGAGTGTTTCTGAAAGGCATTTCAAGGGCTTAAGAGGCTGCACCTGCCACCGAGATCAATAAAAATCCCTTCGTTCTTCCCGTAAAAAGAGAAACACCCACGGCTGGTTTGAACAATGTGAAGAGTTTATTTCAAGTTGATATAAAAAAATATTTTCATAGCTTTCTGCAGGATAAAAAGTCCTGCGTGGTTGAACACAGTGAACAAGTTGTCCGCTCACAGCAGCCTCGCAGGACATCCACCCACAGAGCTGAGCAGACGGAGCCTGAAGCATAAAACTGCTGCCATCCTGTTGGCTTTTTCCTATTGTTAACAAATCTCATGAAAAGACTCAAACCAGTGTTGCACGATTGAACCAACTTGACCTTTGCAGAGAAAGAAACAACTAAAATTACTTTTACTTTAATCTGCCTTTAAATATTTTCCAGATTTTCTCCTCACTCAATTCAAAACCCACTGATTTCTCATAAAAACATAAAATTTTTATTTCATTATTTTAAAAAAGGCTTAAATTCACAAGAGAATCAAGCCTGTTGCAGGTTAAAAAAAAACAAAAAACTAATTCTGAGATCATAAAATTGTACATTTGAACAAAAAAAATCTGAAATTCTTAGAGATCAGAGCCTCAAATTTACAAGAAAATCACATTTTTTTCTCCTAATTTTTTTTATTTTTGGAAATCTACCACTTTAACCTCCAAAACAATGAGTTGATTGATTGATTAAAGTTGAGACTTTAATCTTTTTTCTCACAAATTTATGACTTTAATCTCTGAGAATATCATTTATTTTTCTCAAATTTGTGCTTTCTCTTGTAAATGTACCACTTTAATCTCTGATCATTTCTAAAGTTGTTTTTAAAAAATCTTAAATTTACAGTTTTCATCTCAGAATATCCAAACATTCTTTTCTCTAAAATTAGTGACTAAAATCAGATACTTTGACCTTTTTCTATATTAAATTACAGCATCGGCATAGTTTACAAAATAATGATTTGATAATCTTTTTTTTCCCACTTTAATCCTAGAACGGTTAAATTTTTGCTCTTAAATTTAAGTTTTGTTTTTTCCACTTTAACTTCAGAGAATTTGAGCATTTTTTATCTGTTAAATTTGGAGGTTTCGCAATAAATTAGTCCCTTTAATCTGAGAGATTGTCGCAGTTTGTTTCCCTCTTAACTTTGTGATTTTTCTTGTAAATTCACCACTTTAATCTAAAAGAATTATGACTTTATAATCTCAGAATATCTGAGTTTTTTCCTCTAAAATGTGTGTTTTTTTTTTCTCAAAGTGTGACTCCCCTCCAGCAGCTCTGTCGTATTTCTTTTCTGCTGTAGTAACGTCTCCTACACGAGTAAACACTGTGTTCGTTGGACTATTTTCTAGGACGGATTAAAGCACATTTGTTGTTTTGGTGCGTATTTACAGCAGCTGGATGGTGTAAAATACTTGTTGGTCTTTTCATGTGATTTGTAGACAGTTAACCCTTTAACTGCTGGTGACAGGAGGAGACACACAACCAGCAAACTCAGACTGTCTGTTGTTCTGATGGTCGGTTGTGTGAATCCCGACTGGACTTTTTGATATGCGATACCTGCCCATATATATATGATATATATAGTAACTGAATTCTCTCCATACACAAGTGGAGCTTTTCATTTTCATTTCTTCTGTTGCAGCAGCTTCTCAGCCTCCTCACGAAGTTTGTGTTTCTGGATCTGAGGAGAGGAAGAGGACGATTAATTCCGGTGAGTTAATACTGAATTAAACTACACAAAAACTAAAAAAATCTCAGTCGTTTGAGAGCTGGCTCACTCTGATATCAAATATAATTATCCATCTATTCTGTCTTTGGGGCTTTTTATCATCTGATTAACAGTATGAAAGGATTTTTTTTGTTGTTTTTTTTTTTAACCCAAACCAACAATCAGTGTTTCTCAAAGCCCTCAAATGTCTTGTTTTGTTCACAACACAAAGACGTTCAGTTTACTGTCACAGAGAACATAAATATTCACATTTAAGAAGCTGCAATCAGAGAAGTTTTCTTTTAAAAGATGTACTCATATCAAATAGTTATCGAAATAGTTCACAATTTGTTGGATTTTAATTAAAAATACAACTTAATCGTTGCAGCTCAAGTTCGCTTTATCTTCTTGTTTAAAACGTTATTTTGATGTTCTCTCGTGTGTTTTTATGGTATATTAGAGACACTAAAAGCTTAAGCAAAACAGACGTGGTGTTTATCTCACTAGATTAGCCAAAAAAAGTCGGTTTCTCAATTGATGTGTCGTGATTCTGCAAATTAAAATCTACAGACGCAGCTACACATGGCTCATTATTAGTGAGAAGTACTTTCAAGTTTTTTTCAACCCGTTTTGATGTCTACAAACTGTGTGAAAAGCTGGAAACAGCAGATTTTTGGGGTATTTTTCTGCCACGTTTCTACATCTTATTATTATATTTGATCCCTATCGGAGGGAGTCTTAAAGCGAGGGTGTGGTTTTATCTGATTTGCCGCCCTTCTGGCTTCGTCTAACGGGAGTCGTTGTGCGTGCAGACGAGCTAATAGCTGCCCTTCCCTCCTGTCTGGGGGCGTTCAGGGCCGAACTGTTCAAACACAACCACCGTGTCTACTGCAAACTATTCTAAACTGCATCCCAGGAGGGTAAGGCAAGAAGCCGAGGGGAGGGGGATCAGCTAAATTATCACAGCTGCTGCTAACTGTACATCTGCTTCTCACTCTGGATGCATCTGTAAACCCCATTTGTCGCAACTTTCTGCTTTTTTTTACGAGCTCGGCGCAGAAGCCACAGTTTTGGGGGGAAATTACCTTTCCAGTGACGGTGAGCGGGTAGGTGCTCACAAACAGAACGTAGCGAGGGATCTTGAAGTGAGAGATCTGAAGGGAGAAAATGAAGAGATACTGAGCAGATCCGTCCAAAGCTGCAGCACAAGTCGAGCTGAAATATTAAAGAAAATCTGCCAAACCTGTCCTTTGCAGTAATCTTTGATTTCTTGTACAGTACAGTCGACTCCATCCACCAGCCGGATGCAGGCGCAGACCTCCTCACCCATACGAGCATCTTCGACGCCGACCACCTGAGCGGCACAGAGAAAGCATGCAGCGGTGATGGATTTAAAGAGACTGACTTTCACAACAGTAACTGAACTTACAAGGAGAGAACTGGACTGCTCAAGTGCACAGAGGCCAAAATAGCAGCAAAATATGGACAATAAACGGCTCTGAACACACATTAAAGTACCGAAAGACAACGCAAAAACCAAGAACCTTTAAGTTCATGCACAGCTTTTCATGTTTTATAAATTCTGGTTTAAACTTGTCTGTACTTCTGCTGAAGTTGTCTCTAATTGTATTTATTTTCTACTTTATCTGTGATTTTCTGTTTTTATTTTAATGCACCATGTGAAGCACTTTAAAACGCCTTTGTGTGTGAAACGTGCTGTGAAAATAAACGTTCCTCTCCGCTTGTAAGTTAGAAAGTACATTAAATAGAAAGTTCCAGTTGGCAGCACACATTAAAAGAATTTAAAAGTGTTAAATCCAGATCTTTTGACACTTTTCTGTTATTTTCCAAGCAAAAGTTTAGCTGACCTAAACTCAACATCAGAATGAATATGGAGCTTTATTGCAGCACGTTAATTCTTTTCTAAAGAATAAGTTGAACTTCACTTGCAGTTAAAACACACTTGATCTGGTTTGTCACTGACATGTTTAAAGGAAACCTGAATATTTGTGTTTTTGCATTTTCATTTACTGCTCTGCTGGTGTAATTTCCTCTTCTGTATTGTTATTTTTAGAGTGAATTGTGCCAAAAAAATAAAGTTTTCTTACTACTAGAAGTTAACACAAGTCATTTCTGTGTATAAATGTATTTAAATATACGAATAAGAAAAACAAAATTATAAAAAAAAGTTTGCAATTTGAAAATATCATTTAAAAAGACGTTCAGATTGAGAATTTACACACATTTTGTTCAATATGTTCAACTGTTAGAGCTGCCAAGAAACA